TGATCCGTTTTATTTCTTAAACACTTAGGGATCGACATGATTCATAAATTAAAACCGCTCAGTAAGAGTTAAAATTTTTAAGTGAAACAGACACATCCACCCTCAGCACACGCCAATTCTCTATTTGATAAAAATGGGCTGATAATTTATTTGTGATGATTGAGTACTTGAATCACTGTATTGTTTACATGTCCATTGCTCGTCAGTTTCGTATATGTTGTATGTATACGATATAAATAATTCTTCCGAATACGAATTTCTGTGTTTCCCTCTTATTTACTGATATTCGGCCATTGCATTTACAAATGGGCATTACGTTATTACAATCAAAAGAAATTCGATGATACCATATACTAAATGATTCACATCGGAAAGCTTAACGAAACCTATGAACCGTAGACAAGTCTGCCTATTATCATCGATGATATTCCTGATTTTGTTGGACTGCGTCACCCAACAGATCATGAAGACCATACTTTGGACTAACAATAAGACTGTAGATCTGAACTTAATGGATGATTTATGCCTGATGTCAAAGAAACTCGGAGATCTGCAGGCGTAAGGGAACACGTTTTCAGAAGTAGCAGAGGAGGTAGGACCTCAGTTGAACATAGAGAAAAGAGAGGTAATGAAAGTACCCAACCAACAACAAGCACCGAACTCCTTTAGAAGGGGGGGCGGAACCACATCTTTCAATTTCCTGGCTGCCAGTATGACTGAGGATGTCAAAGCTGGATGTAATGGAGGAAAGGAAGATAGGTGTTCATTATTCTGAAATCTGTGTGGAGATCATCGGCATCCGGCATAATGAACAGTTTCGGAATTTTCAACACGAATGTAGAATCAGTGATTCTAAATGGTTCAGAGACTCGGTTCACGCATCACAGATGGCGTTCCTAACAGGCTGCTACAGATCTTTATCAACAGCTGCGTTGATGGCCGGCAGGAAATGATAAGTAACAAGCAGCTCTAGCAACGAAAAATCTATCAGAGAACAAATATGCACAGGTGGCGATGGAATGGACATACGCTGGCGAGATCGTTCAGTAACATCAAGCGTTAGGTATCCGACTTCAGTCCAATGGGAAACGAAAAGTTGAGCGTCCAATAGTGAAATGGGACAGATGGTATGATCAGGTAAGGAAAGCTGAAAAGCGATCTTTGGAGCTACTAAAAAGATTACAGTGGACAGACTGAAATCGAATTGTGTGATGATGAAGACCCATATTCCACACGGAACAAAGGGAGTAATAATTATAACATTATTCTGGCATCTGAATACATCTCAAACGGCAAAATTAAAAAGGTAACATTTCAACCAGTACACTTCTACGCATAGGTAAAAGTAATAATTGATATATTTTCTGTAATCAGAATTCACAGTTTAATTTAAAAAATACATATAAAAGTACATCAAGAAATTGTCGAAGTATTGATTTGTGGATTCAAGGTACAAAAGCTTTTTTCTTAGAATGAAAAGTATTACAGGAACGGCTAATCGATAGCTTAAAAATAAGGTGTATTTCGCTAGTGATTATGTAATTCACTCGATTATGCTGTCAAAGACATTGATATTTTAATGGATGTAATCATGGTAAAACAAATGAAGGTGACTTTCATTTCTACTTATCTTTTTGTTCCTTTACGTTCACAGTGGAACATAAGGCTTCAAGCTACAGGCTTGAAGTTTCACTAGCAGTGGTGTTTATTTTCATGGGATGGGGTTGGTGATCTCATGCACAACCTTCCCTCTTAACCAGTCTTATTACTGGCTCAGCGAGGTTTGGGAGTGCATCGGCCGGGGATCAAACCCCGAACCACTTGCGTGATTGTCGGACATTCTACCGCTGTGCTAATTATAATTCAAATATTTTACAGTAATCGAATGTGAACAGTACTTCATAAATCTGTTCAGTATACTGTTAACTGTAAGTAGGGATTGTAGATAATACACTGTTATGTACATACTGACAGATGAATAATTACAGGATTTTCAAAGACTTGAGTTTAATGATCAACATAGCCGCTGACAGAAGCTATTTTATTGATGAAATCACGTTATAAATTAACACGACTTTTACTTGCTATTATTATAGGCATTTTGTACAAGTATTGTGCAAAAATTTAAACAGACCGCAAATATCACATAGTGTACTGACCTGGCCACTGCGAGTGGAAGACATGAAAAGACTAGCTGTCTTCGATCATAGGTGCCTGCGCTCTATTTCCCGTGTAAAGTGGCATAATAAGGTGAGCAACATTGAAGTTAGGCGTCCAGTTCTAGGTAAACAGGGGAAATCAATCGACGAAGTCGTGAAGATACAAAGACTGAGATGGTTAGGACATGTGTTGCGTATGCCAAGTCATCGCCTTCCTCGACGAGCAGTGTTAGCGGATATAGGGTCAGGCTGGAAAAAAGCTAGTGGCGGTCAAACAAAAACTTGGCACCAGTCAATGAAATCTACAACAGTTGGTCTAAGCCAGCCACGTAGGAAGGTGTAGACTTCCAGGCTGGGGTCCTCGGGACGGTAAAAATCTATGGTTGGAAACAATTGGTGACATGGCTGAAAATCGTTCTCAGTGGCGCAGATGCATCCACTCCTTGTGACTTATGATCTCCAATGAAACTGTTTTGTTCTTCGTTATTACTCCTTTGTCTCACACCTCTGCTCACTGTCTCTATTATGCTTTTCTTGTACTTTCTTCTCTTGCTTCGCGTGCTACACGGAATGTGGCGACTTGAACTTCCGCACATTTGTGCAGAGTTCTATGTCGGAAACAGACAGACATCACATAGTCCTGTTTAGTATAGTCTTTATCATTATCTATAGATTGCAAATATCACATTACGTCTTTACAATTTAGGACTTGATACATTTTAACCTCGATATATTTTACAGATTTCAGTATAACAATCAACTAATTCTCAGTGAAATGATATCCAATGCCTAAATAAAATTTTTAAAAGAGATCGTGTTCAACAGTTGAAACCGCCGACAGTCGATATTTAATATACATGACAAAATAAACTTGTAGCGTACGATAAGGAATGTTCCAGACTTCGCTGGCTTAACAGAAGTCTTATCATGGTTATAAACAATAACATTTCATACTTCAATGTTTGAAAGGTAATAGAGAAAACATTATAAGATGAACACATCCGGAATATAAGCATTACAATTTTTAGTTAAAGTCACCATCGATTTAAATAGTCTCAAACTTTCAAAAAACGGGTGGAGTGAGAGAAGACAGAAAAATCTAATAAACAGTGTTACCTTGTACGTCTACATAGCAACTCAAAATGGCTAAAGTTCATTAGATTGAAAGCTTGCTCAGTGAAGTGAGCTCACTAATGTGTATGACTAATCAGTGTAATCAAAGTAATACGGTTACCAAAAGAGTGAGAAATGCCTTAAGGAAAACGGGTATCCAAAGGGCTTTATCCTTAAATACAGCCAAGAAAAAGATGAGAAAGCGAAGTGTCCAACAGTTTAAAAAAGGTGTTCATTTGTTTCCCATTCAAAGGAGAAGCAATATCACCAAAGATTGATAAGACGATGAAAGGAGCAATAAAAATATGCTTCCCTGTAGCTAAGCTGGCCACACTATACAGCACTGCATGCTATATAAGCCAATCGAAACTGGATAAGTACCCTGCTGGTGTTACTTCCAACTGCACTTATAAATTTACGTGCACCTGAGTCAGCAAGTATATTGGAAGAACAGAAAGAAAGGCTTCTATCCGGTTTCAGAGCATATTCCGAGAAACTAATGCTTAAAAGGAAGCAGATGTTTACAAAGTGCAATTACCAGACACCTTGTGGATACGAGTCATTTTATCGAGATTTCAAAATCCTTTCAAATATAAAACCTAGGAAGAGCAGCGAAATTACTATGATTTGCTGAAGCAATTACAATCGGGTGTTTCAGATCAAACTTATTTACCCACAGAGAGAATGTAGTCAATATCTCACTCTCTTGGTATGAAGTGTTATTATTTATAACCATTGTAACTTCAGGTAGTTTGCAGTTAGCTGATAAGAACCTGTGAAATAGAATGATATCATCATATATTGCAAATATGGTCTTTCATATTTTATTTAGAAAGTAAAGGGATAAAAATAATAATACCACTGTAAACAAACTCCAGTTGAAAATACTCTTACTTTATTAGTTGGTTGGAGACAATCGGCGGAAGTCTTGTCTGACCTAGGTTCCGTGCTGGTTGACATTCACCCGTCAGCAAGGCGTATCTGCAATCTTGAAGGAACTCATTCAGAAACGTGACCACTGAGCTATCCGGGCTCACAAGTGATCTCCTGTAGGACTGTATTAGATACTTTTGATCGGGCACTAACTAGTGTCATGTGACTACGACACTGAGTGACACGGGTTCGAATCTCAGAAGGGACACGAGTTCCTTCAAGATTATTGCAGATATACCTTGCCGATGAGTGCTAACAAGCACGAAACCTAAGTTCAAAGCTTTCTGTCGATTGCTTTCAACCCCCTAATAACAACAATCCTGACTGTAGCGTGATGGTGAGCCACATAACATGGTGGCCACATTTCAAAGTTAACTGATAGAATTCAGCCTGCAGTAAACAATGGACCAGACACATGACACTAGTTAGTGTCCAATCAAAATTATATACTTACCTTATCAGTTGCAATCCAACTATAGGGTAAATTACACATGAATGTTTTTGCAGTGTGTAAGATGATTTTGTTGGTCAGCGATAAGTATTGCTAAAAGATAAATAATATCCTGCACAACTAACCTTCCTACCAAGAGAAACCAAATATATGTTGTCTTATTAAGAAAAACAAACAAATCAACTGAAAAGTTTCAATAGATTTCTGGTAATTGGTGTAGAATAGAATATACATTCTGACAACTGTAAAATAAAATTATACAGAAAAGACAAAATGAAATCATTTTCGAGACATATGAATCAGATTGAAGAAATAAAGTCAAGTGAAAGTGTTTTATTAAAAGCCTATATGTAGGCATCATCGAATCCAGGTGGTAGAGCATGATCAGGATCTGGCATACGGTGGCGCCCACCACCTAGATTTGGCCTAGAAGGTACTACACCAGGTCCGAAGGGATCAAATCTAGCACCTGGAGGAACTGCTCCAGGCGGCAAAACATCAGGCCCACCAAAAAATGACCCACCGCCAATTCGACCGTCTGGTATCATACGTCTTGGATCGAGAATCATCCCACCACTACCTGATGGGCCTCCAATGCTGGATAAAGGATCCAGATCACTTCTGCCATAATCTGAGAAAGGATTGCCAATTGACGGTCTTGTCTCAGAATAACTGCCAGGAAATGGTCTTTGTGGCTATAAAGAAAAAGGTAAGATTAGATTATCAATTAATATTTACTAGACTATACACTTCTTTAATTAAGATGGGCGTGCAACAAACGGCAATACACACAATAAACAAACTTAACCTACCGAAGATGGTATAAGTAATTATCAACTTTACCGAGTCTTATCTGGAAAGGGACAACTATGATAAACCACATGATCATGAAAGAAAACCTGTTGTCAAACCACAAGCTGAAAGCATATACACAACGATAACCAATGAATTGTTCTTTTCTCAAACCAATCGCATCATTTCCTTATGAATCAATGAGCATTACTTGCCAACCTTATTGAATTACTTTAAGTACGTAATTAAAAAAGTGATCGAGAGCCCTTATTAATTAATAACATAAAAATGGCCATTGTTGACAACTACCGAAACAAAGTATTTTGTATGATGACCATCAAAAAAATACGTGTCTGCTTTACGAATGAACACGAAATGAAATTGCGGAAAGAGACAAATGCAGTTTGGTGGGAGCAGCACAACTCATATGAAAGTCGTGTCAGTCAAACAAATATTCGTCAGTCAGCATTTAATTTTACAAAAGGAAAAAATGGTACCTACTCAGCAGATTGATTTCTACCTACCAGAATAGTGTTGAACCTTGCTAAAAAAAACCCACGGAAAGCAAACACTTGAAATGTGAAAAATCAAAATACCGACTGACTGAGTTTTGACATATAACTTTGCACAGAAGTACAGCACTTTATGTTACTGCACTTGATCACAATAAGCTTATTATCATTCAGGAGATGTCTCTCGTGATTCACTGAGTAATGCTTTGACGTTCTAGTGGGAATACCATCGCTCATTGGGGATGTAGGCACATTCAGATGACGAGTCCCATATAGAACTAAATTCAGATCTTCGATTTTACTATAATTTGCCAACAATCAAAGCAACGAGATAAGTTTTTTATAAATTATCCAGGCCAAAGATGTTGTGAATTTTCTGAAATAAAATTTCTGCCTGACTTTTAGATATTCTCAAATGATGAACAACATTGCTTCAGTGCCTTTAGGGTTGTAGTTGGCACCTTTATTCAAATTGAACTCATCAGTTGCATAGACTGACAGGACTTTTCAATATGATGTTCAAACAATTTATGTAATCTTACTTCACATGGTTAATACGTAGCTTACATTACTGATTCCCCAGAATGTTGATGTGAGTCTAATCACATTCATGCATTACTAACCACAAGTGTGAATATCAATTAACCATGAGTTGAATGTTAACATTTCAAGAAAGCATAAATCATTGTAGTTGCACAAAGGAAGAATAAGATGTATTCACCAAATTTTGGATGCTTAATTGAATAAATTAGTGTATCTTTGTCATTTTCTAAAACAAAATATTCATTAGCTTAAGCTCAACCAACAGCTTTCTACGTAGAGTAAAAAGCAAAATAAAAACACCATCTACTGAATTCAGGAAAAAATGTGAATACATAGATTTTACTAAAGCAGCGATTTATGTAAGGAACATTATAATTTAGCAGTAACCTGCATCATGAGGGAGTTTATTCCATCCGACAATAGAGGGCAATGAGTAGTTGTTATCTTCTTTTGGGTGTCCCAATGTTCCACTTTAGCAGGAATGCAGGAACCGTGTTGTACAGTTTTTATGAACATAAACCTAGTGTGAGAAGTCCGTAATACAGTTAGTGAGGTTGAATTTATCCACCACTGCACAGTGACCCACTAAGAAATATCCGCGAAAACAAAGAACATGCAGTCGGACAAGATTTTCTCCCACCTGGGTAGTATAAGCAGTGATTATCAGCTGCAACAAAATGTTATGGAATGCAATCCACTCCACCTAGTTAAATACAATAGAAATACCTCTATGATATTAAGTTTGGTTGGTATCCCAATAGACAAGAATTAGGCTGCATTATGGCACAGGATGCGTCGGTGGCACAGCGGTTAGGACGCTCACCGACCATGCTCATGGTCCGGGGTCCGATCCCCGGCCACCGACGCACTCCTTTACCTCACTAAGCCAATAATGCTGGTAAAGAGGAAAGGTTGGGCATGAGGCTGTAAAATAAACACTGCTACAGAAACTTCAAGCCACTAGCTTGAAGCCCTATGTTCCACTGGGAACGTGAAGGAAAAATTAATTATTAATGGCACAGGACGATTACTACTTAGAGTGCTGACTTCGAATTATAACTGGAAAAAACATATTGACTATCAATTGCCTACTCTTTTTTGTTGAAATGAAACTATGTTCAGCTTATTATATCAGAAATACTACGTAGGTGCCTGTATATGACTGTTTTCAATAATTTAATCTAAATGTAAGGTTTTGTGTAGAATTAATATCAATGTCATATTATTTGCTACTTCTATAACTACACTGAATATTTACTGAAAATACCATGGAGGGTTATGTGACATTAACGATCAAAATAGAAAATATGAATACGGTGCTAACTACGTTTAAGGTTAGCAACAATATGCATATGCTAAATCTGAAACTAAGAAACTCACAAGAACAAACTAACGAGCTATAGTCTGTCTGTTTTCGACGTAGAACTTTGCACATATGTGCGGCCGTTCAACTTGCCACACTCCCTCCTTGTAGCACACAAAGCAGAAGGTAGCGACAGTAAACAGAGTTGTGAGACAAAGGAATAGAAGCAACGAAGAACAATATAGTTTCATTGGAAATCGTAAGTCATAAAGAGTGGATGCATCTGCGCTAGCCATTAAGAATGATTTTGAGCCATATCACCAATTGTTTCCAACCATTGGTTTTTACCGTCCCGAGGACCCAAACCAGCCAGCTAGTCTACACCTTCCTACGCGGCTGGTTTAAACTAACTGCTGTGGATTTCATTGACTGGTTCCATGTTTTCGTTTGACCGCCACTAGCTAGCTCATTTCCAGCCTGAACCTATGTTAGCTAACATTGCCCGTCGAGGAAGACGATGACTAGGCATACGCAACACATGTCCTAACCATCTCAGACGATGTAATTTCACAGCCTCGTCGATTGATTTCCCCTCCTTACCTAGAACTCGACGCCTAACCTCAATATTGCTCACCTTATTATACCGCTTCACACGGGAGATAGAGCGCAGGCACCTATGATCGAAGACAGCTAATCTTTTCATGTCTTCCACTCTCAATGGCCAGGTCTCACAGCCATAAAGGAGGACGGAACGGACTGATGAGCAGTTCACCCGCCCTCTGGTCGAACTATAGTGGACTGTTAGGTATATTTCTGCTTTAGTTTATTTACACTGATCTTTTCCTGACACAAACAAAAAATACTTTGACGGTTCACATAAAATATTATATGCCTATTGATCTTAATACACCGTGATCTACACCAGGTAAATGAGTTTTCAGACCGACAATTACAGTAACTAACAACGAAAAATTAGTTTTTTGGACTACAGTATTTGAAAAGATTTCAAAACTGGTTTTTATCAACACATAACTGTGGATCAGAGATCCATTATGCCAAAATTTTAAGTAATGGTTAGCGAATATCAAAGTTACTGAGATTTTGGCTTTTAGGTATTTAAGTACAGCTGTTAAGAGCTATATTTCAGTCTGAAGTATTTCCTCATGTGATGTACACTTTTGGTAATATTTATGATGACTTTTTAGTTCAGCTACTAAAATGTGGTACTAGTAATTCAATGTCAATTGAAATTACAAAGTACAACAGTTTTCAGCTGCATACGCATGATGAAAAACCAACTACTCATAGGAGTTTACCAATAGCCACGACATGGAATATGACAATAAAACCAGGAACCTGATTTTGTTAAATTTATGACGATGTGCGTATTACGGGGTCACCGCAATTCAACAAGAATGAGAAATTATATTTAAGAACGAAACCTCAACCTAATGAATAGAAACAAAAATATTTAATGTACGGTTGGTGATTGAAGTTATGTATCTATTTTCCACCGCATTTTGACGAAATTGGGGAAAAAGGGATTAAATAAAGACTCACTTGAGAATGAAAATCCTCATTATTTGGACGAGGTTCTTTTTTGTCTCTTCGGCTATCGGTTTCATTTGAACGACAAAGAGGAGGGGATGGGAGAACTGGTTTCCATAAGTTTTCTTCAATGCTTTCCAGTAGTTCATTGAGTTGAGGGAACACTGCATTGGCGTCTTTGTATGAGGAATTATTTACACAATCAAGACAGACGTGCTCAATTCCTGAGAGCTCTAAATGTCCGAATTTATCTGTGGTTGTATCTGTTATGCTAACGAAGACGTGCATATCCGTTTCTGTCACAGAGACTTGGAGCTGTCAAAATTAAAATAGGAAATTAAATGGGAACAGAAGGATTTTGCATGGTATCACGAATGCAGACTCAGGAAATTGAGTTGTAAAATACATATGCCTGTAAGTAAAATAACAAGCTGACATTCACTTTATGTAAAACTAGCGAGTTCCGTAGTGAATGAAATGATCATAATGATGGATAGTGCCATATACAACGCACTACGCTCGCACATTAAAAAGTAAAAAAAAATAACCAAAGCATTAAAAGAAGTGTGCTTACTTGGCCACATGGAGTCGATAACGCATCTGATTTCGGACGAGATATTAACGTATAAGAAATTCTAACAGGGTCTTCTTTTAAACACGATGAACTAAGAACTGCTGAAGACATGTTGGCTTCTGTAGGTCTTGCACCACGTGACAAAAGCTCTGAATGAATTAATAACGCTATCAGCGAAGCGCGATTCTTGCAGCTTGGTGCATGCACATACAACACGTAATCAAGAATGCTTGCCTCAACAGGTCCTCTTTTCACAATTCCTGGAGGTCTTGGTGAGGTGGACTGAGACTTGCTTGAGAAATGCTCTGACATCACGGAGACTTATGCCAACAGTTCAGTGACCTTGACGGGGCAACACTTTCGAAAACCCCTCGTCTCATACAATATCCAATGTCGAATTTACGATCAAGAATAAGACGAATTGATTTCTTTGTGCCCGCTTCATGGCTGTACAATGAAGATTTCGAATTTCGGTAAATCCCTGTGTAGTGGGTTTTGCCACTCGACTACCGTAGTTTTGGTTGATTACAAGGTAAGTGGTGCGGGGATTTGTTGTGTCTTTCGCACTATGCGGTATGTTGCCGTTGTGGACATAGTTGGTCGTTCCACCCAATGGTCTTCGGGCGTGGTCGGTAATGGAGGTAATAACAGTAACAGAATTAGTTAATGAAGATTGAGTTCAAAAGCAGGACTTTCCAGAAGATTGGTATGTTACCCATGGCAAATAAACGGAACTATAGATGCGGTAGACGAAGGCAGTTAAATAAATAAATAAATTTATTCTCATGATGCAGTACATGAGGGACGCCAGTTTACAGGCATCATCAAATTGTTACAGAAATAGGACCATATTATTCAGTCACAATTTACAGTCGATAGCAAAATATGTTTAACATGTACACTGGAGATTATACATACACTTGATAAATGTTAATCCCAATAGTATAAAACATCCTTTTCACTTATGTACAATCGTTTCTGTGCATAGTTGGAAAAATCCGCTAGATTGTCAGTGAGTGCAACACATCAGGAAATACAGAAGTATTGTCTTCGCATTAACAAAAAAACCAGGTCTTTGGTGGATGGGTTATAAGTGCCTGGGAAAAAAATAAAGCTTGAAGTCAGTTTTCATACATAATTTTGTTGTGTACAGAATCCTTGAATTATAGTTCATTGTTGTGTTATTTGGAAATCAGTGATTTGCTTATCTCATTTGATCTGCAATGTCATTGTTGGGAGCAAAATACATAAGCTTTGGACGCATTAATTAATGGATTTCTACTGCTTGTGGGTATTTACTTCTCATGAGGAGGGTTTTTGAATTTTAGTTGTTCCGACAGGAGTTGTGGATATTAACTGCTCAGCAACATTACGGATATAAGTTCATCACATTATCTTAGGAAAGTTGGGTTGTAGTTGGTGAGGTATATATGATGCCCGACGAGCGTACATCTGTCCATGTGATGTTGTGGTGAGTTATATCTTTTTCATGTTGTCGGTTTATGTCCATTTTATTCCACTTATTGTGTTGGGTAGAAGTTTTACAAACGAAACTTCTTGTCTGTTTGAGGGTAAGTATCTTAATCGTTAATGTTTTATCTAAAATTATAAATATAGGCAAAAACAACAGGTGTAGTATTTAAGCTTATACATTAAATGGACCTATAATTTCGGAGGCTCTCAGATAGGAACTAGGACTACTATCGTTTGCAAACTCTTGTAGTTTGTCGTTAAGCACTTTTTTGAATGAGGCCAATGTACCTGCTTGACGCATTTCCATTGGTAGTTTATTCCATATCTGTGCATACCTAATCAAATAAAACTTTTGCCTGGTAGCTGTTTTACATTGTTCGATAGCTACTGTACCCTTAGTGTGTCTTAGTTTGTAGCCACTGTCATCTGAAAGTCGAATGCCATTAGTAGAGGTAAAAACTAAGTGGTTTAGAAGCTTATAGTAAAGTGTTAAGTTTAGTCTCAGGCGTCTTAGCCATAGTGTTTCTAATCCTAGGGTGTCACATCTAGTGGAGTAGTTCGCACCATTTTCGGTTCCGAGTAATTTTGACGTGAAGTACCTCTGCACTCCCTCGACTTTCAATTTGTCCTCTATGCGTATACTACTATACATGAATGAACAGTAATCAAATAAAGGACGCACACAAACCTTGTACAACAGAATTCTGGACTCATTTCTGTAAAAGTTCCTGAGTAGAAAGCCGATAAGTCTGCGTGACTTTGACACTTGTTTGGAGATATGTTCAGAAAATGATAAGTCATGTGAGTATTTCAGTCCTAGGTCCAATACAGATTCCAGTCGTAAGAGTGCATGGCCTTGAATTGTCAGGTCAAGTTCTAAATTGTTGCAACCTATGCAGAGCCAGCCACATTTGTCGACATTAAACTGGAGTTGCCAGGTGTCACACCATCTATCCATTTTTTCTAATTCTTGCTGTATGGCGTTTACTGTTATTCCGAGATCTGTGTTCTTGCATTTATAGGTCACTTTTAAGTCATCTGCATATAGTATTGGTTTACCAACACTAAAGCATTCACAGATACTGTTTATATATATTATGAATAGGAGTGGGCCTAATACACTTCCCTGGATTACACCACTACTTACAGGTTTAGGCCTTGAGATTATCGAGCCAACTTTTGTTATCTGATTCCTGTCACAGAGAAATGATTTTATCCAGCTCAGGAGAGGGTCACATATCCCTAGTGAGCATAACCTGCTGACTAGCAGATTATGGGGGACTCTATCGAAGGCTTTTGTTATATCGAAATATAGCACAATTACTAGTTCTCTGTTGTCCCTGCTTCGTGTAACTTCGTTGAAAACGTCTATGTGACAGGTCGCACAAAGATCTCCCCCAGATCTAGTATTTTAGTACTACTTGTACAATGGTTCCACTTGAAGGAATAAAACATGTCGATGGTGACTAGTAATGTATTTACATAGATATCCAGTCACTATTCATGGGTATGTCTACAGATTCACCTACTGTCGTTGCAGAGTGTGTGTTGGAGAGGGTAGTTTGCTCCTTTTCAAAGATTATGGATAGAATAGGTACTTTCTTTGACAAATCACAGTCGCCTTTTACGAAAATTATCACGATATGACATAAATGGGTCTTCAAGAGACCAGAAACGAAAGCAGAGTTCGGAACAGAAAATTCACAGGTGTCCGCAGTACGGTGGTGTCAGCACTATAGAAATAATACTTCTTGGGAAATGAATAACATGACTCAGGCATTTAGTCATAAGTGTCATTGTTCATATGTACAAAGCTGTGCTTATAAAAGCAAGACATATTCGAGGTATATTGAGTACCAATGAAGAATGTGCTCAGACGCAATGCATTGCAGAAATGTTACACGGAGACGATATCTAGCCGCAGCGTTGTTGTACTACTACCTATTGTCCAGTACTAGTGCTGCCAGGAAAAACTGTGCACACCAATGAGGATGTATGTCTCTCTCTTCTATTGGATACACAAAAATTCCTTATATTGTCCTTCAAGTCACCTAATAAAGGGGTCAGAGCATTAAATAAGTCAATAAACTTGGTAATTCACAGACATCTGGATAAATTTATGTACAGAAATTGCTTCGGCTTATCACTGAAAATTCCAACGAGGAAATACACCGAAGTTTTGCAAATAAATGTTGAAATAATGTGTCAATAATTTATATTATGTTGTTGCGACCTTCTGCCAGCCAGCAAACATTAAATTCACGATTGAGATTTTCTCCACCAGCTAAAACAATGCTGTGGCTTTGTGGAAGATGAGACAGTGATCGGAGGTAGCGGACAGTCCAAAAGTCTGATGATGATTATATAATATTTTTGGAGGCTTTATTATTATTATTATTATTAATACGTATTTTATGAGATTGTGGCCTGACAGAGTGGTTTATTAATTTTCAAATGCTATTCTAAATTGTCTCACAAACCCCAGGAAGATATTTCAATATTAAAAAAGTTCACTGTTTGCGTAAATCACTGTAACCTCTAAGACACTAGTGGAATTCCACCTGAAGTACTTATTCATGCTTGGAACTTCCAAATCATAGTGTCAATGTAGTTGAAGATTGAACGATCAATTCATGGTTGTTTGCTCAAACCCAAATCCATTTTTTTCTCGGGAGTCATCAATACTGCAGTCATCCTCTCATCGTTCGCTGTTCGTTGGAAGAGAGAAAAACTATCAGAAATATTATTGTGATTGATTGTTATAACATTTATTCTTAGACTTTTGTGTACAATAACCTAATGGTTGGCTCTGTATTGGTGCAAGAATAAAGGGTTCTTGAGCCACCATTTTGTGTTCTGGTTTTTTGCGTTGGTTATTACGCATGGTTCCTGAAAGTCTCCCAAGGATAGCGTGAGGTCCAGTGTAGTAAGACCTGGACATTGACACATAGATTATGATATTTGTCACCTGATCAGAACATTTCCTATTAAACCTATTGTTGATCCAAAACGCTCGTCTAGTCAATTAAATCCCAGCCGTTTTAACGCCAACGATCAGTTTAATTATCCGGGAGACTGAAACACGTGGTGGTTAGTATGATTCTGAATGGAAAGTAACTCAGCAGTAGTAATTTGGTATGTTTGCGTATCGGAATAATCTGTTCCTATCACCCCCAATAACTGCTCTATTCAGCAGGTGTGTTACATTACCGCGTCTCTAGTTGGGGCAGTGTTAAGAACATTCTGGTCACCATATTGGGTGGGCCAGGACAAACAGTCATCAGGTTTGTATGGCTAGAGCACAGATTCGACAGGATGAATGGACACGCAGCCATCGTTTGAGTTACTTCTGGCTGAGGCTGATCGGGAACGAGCTCGAGGTCCTTCAGGCAGCGTAACCAACTGGCTTCCTAGAAACCTGCACAGCACGTAGAAAAAATGACTTTTATTCGGAAGAATTGTTGTGTGCGTTATTTGACTAAATCAACGTACACGTATTTCTTAGTATTTCTTCACGTTTATTGATGTGCATAAACGTGTATAGAAATCAGAAAGAACAACCATATAACGCATGTATATGTAATTTTCCCTACCAACCTGTCAGCCCGCGTCTTCGACATAACGGTTTCCTGAAATGAAACTAGTTCGGTTAGGCAGGGTCACTGAAACATTCGTTTAGCGTTTACCCACAGAGTCTCTATGTTCCTTACATCTTTTCCAAGAACCTAAAAAATTTATGGAGAATTCGTGGGTTGACAGGATCTCAGTTCTCTGGGTGTTATTTGGTTGCTTGAAAAACGATTGATTCTACTGTCCGTAACTTCCCCTTCATTGCTTTAGTACATCATGACATCTAACCCCAAACTTTGCGTGGACATACTGCATATCCCTGCTAAATGTAGCGCCATGGCGTACTGCTGTGTTGGCCTGATGACAAGTTATATTTTTCAGATGCATTTTGGATGAAATTTTCAACTAAAAGCATTTATCTGCGTGTATACTATCAGTAGCATAATATTCTTGAAATGCGTTGTAGTTGCTGCGCCTTCATTAAAAGATGTCATTTGAAACCAAATTCTGAGCAATGAAACGGGTAAAAGGATGTAATAAATTCAAGAATAAATGTAGATTCTTAGATTTTCGTGAAGTCATGTCAGTATTTTTGGCCTAGCGATTCCCATTAGATAAAGCAGATGACGCCACTTTAAAAAGGTAAATTCTGTATAATCGCCCTGCGTAGATGTGTGCGGTAGCCAGCTGGTTTTCACATTGCTATCCTGTTTTCTTGTTTTATTCTAACGATTACTGTGTTCATTCATTCGCAGGTATAATTGGTGGTAGTCAGTATTTCCATTAGAACAACTGACTGGGACTTTCCAAGCACTTTTTGTGTTTATTTTGCTCACAGATAGCCCATGTTTTCATAGATGAATCCATTCAATCCATTGATTTATGGCATTAATTGTGGATCAGATATTTTAAAGTCGAAATGTCGTTTAGGATTGATCCATTAAAGCGAAACCGACCTGCCAGTATTCGCTTCCACTCCTAATATGCACTTTAGAGCCTATCTAGCCGCCGATTTGGCTGACGTACTATTGTCACAGTTTAAGCTAAGGTTGATGGTCCATTGCCAGTTCGTCAGCTTGCCCTCAAGATCATTTGATTGACCCTTTATTTTTAAAGTGAACGCTTGGCAAATCAATTTTTGCGAATCATTGAACCTCTATTGTTCATTGAGTCAATGAATTAAGCATCAGTTATTTTTTACGTTCGACTCGTTAAACCTCTCTTAATATACTACTTCCCTAGTTCTCATGGTAGTCACAAGCACAGGTGAAGAGGGAGGGTTGGGTGTGGATCTAGCCACCGTACACAGGAAAATCAGTCAAACTGCTGCAGAAAATTCAACGCAAAACGTTTAAAAAACAAACTTATTCTTCGCTGGAATCCGAGAGGCGAAATGACAGAGCGCGCTGGTGAAAGCTCTCAGGAAGTCAGTGAGCCAGCCGATCTGCGTTTTCTCGGTGAAAGCAGGAATATTGGTGAGCATATGGACCGTTCGTAAAGAGCATCAAGCTGGGTTGGAAAGGCTATCCAGATGGCCGAAGAAATGAGAAGACATGGCATAGAAGTGCTGGGTATCTGCGAGAAGAATGGAATGAATGTGGATTGCCAAAATTGTCAACTAGTAAGTCGGTAATCTAATCGGGTCACCCAGATGACAAACACGCGCACACTGAGGGATTGGCTATAATGATATTTCCATTGGCAACCAGAGCCCTGATGCAGCGGAAACCAATTTCATTCAGGATCATGACAGTGAGATCAAACTCAAAAGGAAGGAAGGAGAGTTACATTTATCCAGTGCTACAAACAACAGAAGAAGGAAGAATTTTATACAAAACTACAAACAGTAGTGGATGAGGTCACAAATCGTGACATCAAAGCTCTTATGGGCTATATAAATGCTAATCGAACTGGGAGCAGATAATACAAGAAGAGAACTCAAAGTGCACCAAGGGTCCCTGGAGAAATGAATGAGAACTAAGAATCATTCACAGACAATTGTGCTTTCAGTGACTTGGTAATCGGAGGCAGCGTGTGCAAGTAAAGGGATATACACAAGGCCAACGACATGAATTTCGCGTGAGGGACGTACAATAAACCAGATAAACTTCGTCTCAGTGCTGCTCATGGAAGTGGTGACGCACCCAGTCTGCTGGACACAAAGTTGAGAAGGGGAGCAGATATGGGCTCAGACCATCATCTATTAATAGGAGCCCCCATAAGGAAGCCAGAATCCTCCAGAACGACTGGAGACAGGCCACAACTCAGGTTAAATAGTCTAAAGCTGAAGGACAAAACTAAAAGGCATGCTTTCATTACAGATCAGAGTAAAGCCGGAAACACTACGTGGCATCAGTGAGGAAACCTGTGAGGAAGAACATTGTAACTGTCTGAAGGTGATGTTCAAGTAAACGTGTACAAGTCATATAGGGAGGAAGAAGAGACACGCTTTGTTACACATAAGCAGGCACCCAGAGACCTGCGATTTTTCCGTCTTTACACTAATTAGTGTTTGAATCTCTTCACAAATTTTGCAGGTGGTACAGACAAAATGCTATCAACCAGGTTGGTTTAGCCTGGAATACAATGTGATGAGCGAAATTGGACTCGTTCTTGTGCATAATGGCAGTGCTTGGAAGTGCATAAGCACACTGTCGGTCCAGTTGAATCATTCGCTACACCTGATGCATGTTCATTTGGATATTATTGAACCACCACCTTCTTCCAATGGAATTACATGCTGGATCCGCATTATAGTTGACTTGAAGAGTTTGGATTGCACTCAACGGTGACAACCGAGCTCACAAATAGTATGAAAAGAACTTCTCCGATGAATGCTTAGGTTACATCCCCAATAGACGTATCAGCAGACAATATGAACAGTTCCCAATAAGGCGAGACAAGTCACAGTTGAAAAAAGAAACAATTGTCCATGAAGCTTCATTTCAATGGTAACGTTAACCTGTGAAGTTCTATATCATAGATTGTCTAGCACCATAAATAAGAGATTCGTTGGTAAACCAGTCATCATTAACCACGCTGCCTAACTGTGCTACTAGTATGTGGATCACAGATTTAGCTGATCCTATAGAGACTGCTATATGGGAACAATAATTAGATTTTCACCTCACTTGACAATTGAGATATTTATATTATCACAGCATCTTCACTACTTTTTTCGTCACTTGTCTCAACTACTTTAAATTTTTTTCCCTTCACGTTCCCAGTGGAACATAGGGCTTCAAGCTGGAGACTTGAAGTTTCTGTAGCAATGGTGCTTATTTTTCGAGGGATGAGGTTGCTAGCCTCATGCCCAACCTTTCCTCTTTACCAAATTTTATAACTGGTTTGGCGAGGTAAAGGAGTGTGTCGGTCGGGGTCGAACCCCGGACCATGTGCATGGTAGGCGAGTGTCCTAACCACTATGCCACCGACGCACACCTTAAATAACATTGACATTATTATCATTGGTACATTTTAATCAAAAATTCACAGTAATTAGTTGAAATTTCATATAATCTGAGTTACGTATATTCGAGCAAATTCTATTTTATTATAAACAATATTCTTCACTTAATCATTTTCAGTTTAATTAACTGCCTACAAATTATCAAAGATATTCAAACAAAAGATATCAAGTTATTCATGACATTTTTCCCTGAAAACATCTTAATCTTAGAATAACAGTAATAATGTCTCCCTCTGCTTGCTTTCATACTGAGTTGTGAATTTATAAAGGAAACAAAAAACTTTCACAGTTGTCAAAAATTATATATTTGTCGTACTAAATAATAATAATAAAAACCATAATTGGTAAAATGAATAAAACTAACACTGATAAGTGAAATATGCTACAGTGCTTTATCACAAACATTAAACAATGAACTGCTGACTTGACCAAATAATAACGCAGACAGTTACAAAGAGATTCATGTCTTCCTAAACAAGTGACGGTAGAAATACAATGAAGCAAAAATTGAAGGAATTTAGACCAAACTTAAAGATTTCACAACTAAGAAGACTTTATGTAAGAGAGGAGATAGAAGTTAAAAGCTTCGAACTACGCCATAATTATTTATTTGATCCCTATGTACAAGAAAAAAGGAAATATCAATGATAAAACACAATGCATTTTGATAAAACCATTGGTATGTGTATATTCTACGTGCTAAACAATGTTTATATGATGTATCATTCAAAACACTTAAGAAAACATCACGTTATTAATACTACTACTACTACACAATTTATGAAAGTATGAACAGGGGTGAAAGTGTAAGTTATCAAGCCTGATTGCCTTTAGTATACGCCAATTGTTTTGCTAATAGTTCTTCAAACGTTAAATTTGACCTACGAGCTGCAATAAGAGCAGTTACACCGGTAATCAAACCAGGCACAGCACCAAACATTCCTGCAATAAACATTTGTCTTAATCCACGGTTAAAACAATACAGGGATGATGTAATTCCTAAAGGAAAAGAAATAAAATTATCATATTAAGAAATCATTAACAAAAAATACATTATACATTATCAATATTGCACACTATGTCCTAGATTTATTTTGACCTAAGTTACAATTCAGTAGAATAAGAATGTATGGTCACAATGAATAGGATAATTTGAGGTTGATCCAAATTGAAAGTGTAGATCAGAAACATAGCGTCTATCAGGGTTTACAAACAAAACAATTACACATTAATATTATTGTAACAACCAAAACTGACTCGTTGTGGTTTAAACGTAGGGAACCGACTTTCTATCCTAATATGTGTAGCTAACCGAAACTTGCTTCAGAGACACACACCCACAAGATACTCCGATGGAAGCAAAAAACAGTTGTTTGTCGATCAATCTATAGTTCTGTTCAACAACAATAGAATTGAAAGCTCAAAATTACTTCAACAGTGTTGTTAGGCAGCTCTCTACAGCCAAGAGAACTTTCTAGTACAAAACAAGGACTGTAAAACAAAATTAGTTGATATGTATCCACATATATTTATGTGTGTGTGTATGTTGGTCTCTCTTTCTGTTTGCTCGGTTAGTCTGTGACCATTTCACTTGTATCAACCTGTCTGCTTTAACAAGGTATATTTCATTTATATTATATATAATATGAGTGTTTGTTGACAGTCCGTTGCTTAGTGACATATATCCATATATGGTTGTTTGACATGTCTGCTATATATATTTTGTTATATATATATATATTTCGTTCACACACTTTGTGTGAACTACTTTACTTACTGACCACTTTGGTGTGAGACCATTTATTTTCGTCTCCTTTTGTTTGGACAATAGAAGTATCATCGCAAACCTAGTGGTCTTCTGATTTCCGCCTTCTCGCGTCAGGACTATTAGTTTCTCGACCAGTCCATAATAACAATTTAGCGACGAGTACATAACATTAGTTAACGGAAGTTCAAACGTAGGAAGTATCTTAGAATCAAGGGGAATATTCCCAACAACGTGGGATCAGAAGCTCTGTCCGCAACAGTCAGAATTCACTCAGACAAAATCACATCGTAAAACAACACATTATCAATGTGTCACACGGCCATAAAGAGAAGAATTAAAATTAAAGAGTGAGCAGGAACGAAGGCGAATAATAAGGATCAAGTCAACAAGTGATATGCAAATGCCAAAATAATGATATTTGCATACCGTACCATGTTGAAAGCACCAGTTCTCGTCCGATCACCGAAGTTAAGCAACGATGGGTCCGGTTAGTACTTGCATGGGTGACCGGCTGGGAATACAGGTTTTACCGGCGTTTTGCGTCGGTGGCACGGCGGTTAAGACGCTCGCCCACCATGCACATGGTCCGGGGTTCGAGCCCCGGCCACCGACGCACTCCTTTACCTTGCGAAGCCAGTAGTGAGACTGGTAAAAAGTAAAGGTTGGGCATGAGGCTAGGAACAACATCCTGTAAAACTCAACACTGCTACGGAATCTTCAAGTCACTAACTTGGAGCCGTATGTTCCACTGTGAACGTGAAGGAAAAAAAATCAAAAAAATCATGATATGTAGTCTAGGAGAAAAAGTTGACATTTCTAAAAAATATCAATATCCGTTCAGGAGGGATTCTCGAAAGAGTTATCCCGTTACGCTTGTTATTAAAACACTTCAATAAACAATGAGTTTCCTTCAGGTTGTATGTGTAAGACAGAACATAAAACTGTTATGGATAATTTTTTTAAACTTGTGTTACTCAAAAGGCCACGAACATCAACATCAATGCATTTAGTTGAGATGCTTGCCATTGTCAATACAGGCACATTTTCTTGTATTCTCAAACTACATCTAAACCAAAATATTTGAATCTGAATTCTCTGTCGAACAACAGTCGGAACAAGTTTCAGAACAATCTAAACTGTACCATTGTAAAAAGAATGATCGTTTCTGTATTATTGTCAACATTGGTGGCCTGTTTGAAATCCCTGAGTTATTGGAATGTTTAACCATCAAAATTGATATGTATCCATATAATATGTGTGTTTGTTTGACAGTCTGATATATTTTGCTATGTATATATGGATCGATATTCCATTATAATTAGCCAATCATGTTAAGACTGTCTATTGATTTTTTTCATTTTGAATATTCGCTCACACACGTGTGTTCACACACTTGTTCGGACATTCATATTTTGCTCTCACACACTTGTGTGACATTGATTCTCCTGGTGTTTTGGAAAATAGAAGTATCATCGCAAACCTAGTGGTCTTCTGATTTCCGTCTTTCTTGCGTCAGGACTATTAAATTCTCGACCAGTACATAACAAAGATGTTCAAACTCTTCTGTATTTCTCGTTGTTTTAATCATGCCATTAATATTAAATGATCACTACAGGGACTCGCACTCCTACTGAATTAACCTCCAATTAAATGCTGTGTAATTCTTGAGAGAAATGAAGGGAAAACTTACAGAGTTGCTTCTCTCTTCATATGCAATAATACTATGTCTCATGATATACTTCAAATTTTTTTTCCAATCTCAGTGGGTGCGTACTGCCGATGATTTCCGAACTAGAATGAAACGGCAGCTGTCCAGTATTCCCTGGTTTTCAATGTTTCTCTAACTAATTTCAATCCGTGATCAACTCGTAAAAACATAACTAACCCTTAGAAACCAAACTATACTTCAGATTACTTTATATGTAAATCATAAATGGAGAGGAAATATGTTGGAACTAAATAAGCTGGAAATTTCTGTACTATGTGATCACCTATTGTCTGAAATGCAGCTTTATTATTATAATTATTATTACCTTGACTGACTTTGTAATTAACGAACATCTAGACAACACATTGGGTGTAACCACTGTTTGCATAAATCACTTGGTTACATACTAATGACATACAGATTACTTTACAAGTAGCCGAATACCGGTAGATAACTGTGGAAATCAAACAGCACGATTACTTCGCTCAGTTCAGTTTATAAAGATTTGTTAAAGACCTTAACGTCGCATAAACTGAAGGATAGAATAAGAACTAGTACTGATGAGTCAATTTCGGAAAATCTTAATGACCACGTACCAATAAGGAACTATTAGGGAATTACAAACATTTAGCAATGACTAATGATATTGTGGTGAGAGCAGGCTGCTAGCCAATTGGTAGACATTAATTTACGTCAATGCCTATGTCGCTAATATTGGTCGTGAGAAAATATGAACAAGACTGATTCAACAACCAATCACAGCAGACTTGGCGTATAGATTATCTGACATTCAAGAAACAGTCATAAAGAGATGCAAAGTCAACTTTCTGTAAGAAACAACCAATCAGAAGACTGTGTTTGTCTGCTTGAATAAGCTATAATAATGTACATGAAATATATATATATATATATACGTGTTGATTTCCTTAATAAAGGATCTGTTGCCTGACTCTTGGCTTCTGTTGTTACAATATTACCTCAATATCGGAGGTTACGTTAAGTTGTCGGTTTCAAACAAATAACCTAACAAATGAAAACCCCCCGGCTAAAACCAATGAACTGGAACACCTCTAAAGACAAGCGACAGTATTATTCTTCCAATAGAAAATGTAGACATCTTAATAAATTACAATTTACTTTTGCTATAAACAAATATAATAAAGATCATGAATGCAAACTACACAATTGAATGCTAGCAACAGTTTGATAGCGAAAGTTCATGCTCCGCATCAATCAAACGTATTAAATCAATGTAACATTGTAGCTCACTGTACTAGGTATTTGAGCAGTGAACCAACAGATTACAGGTGACCTGCGTTCAAATCTCAGAAGGACCATAAGCGCCTTCACGATTTCATATACGCCTTGCTTACCAGTGCTGAAAAGCACACAGTTTAGTTCCAAGGCTTCCTGACGATTACACCCCAGCCATTTAACAAACCACATATATTACACAGACTTGAACAACCACGTAATAAGTATGGTTTATCTATCTACTGAGTCGGCATGTGGCATTTTATGCATTTTAATCAGATTATCCACACCAGTTCAGTTTGAAGTACGATAAAAAGCCATAATTTCCAGTAGATTAAGTCGAAAATTTGCAAATCCTTTATCAAGCAGATCACATACTGCGATCGCAATAACTTGGTTTCCTAGGTGAACTACTGTGAAATTTTAACACTCAAACTGAGTAAACTGCAAACTGTTAACCAATTTGCAAATCGTGAATCTGTCTCATGACATGGCTAGTTGGACTAAGTAGCTAGCCAGAAATCGGGTGGTTTCAACTGATTCGGTTCTTCGAGTTGAGTCACACCGGCTACACCACTGATGAGATTAGCTGCAAACGAGTTAAACGGCAGTCGGCTATCTAGATCACCTCGATTCGGTTAGCAAGGATTGCTGGTTGATATGAGTGGTATGCAACTACTCATTTCAATCAATCAGTAGTGTATAGTTTTATGCAGAATTTCTAGTGTTGACGCGACAACCCAAAACTCCAAATTTTTCATGCAGACAATAGGAATTGGAAAAAAGGCCATCTTCTAATGGCATATACTTACCCCAACCAGCAGCGTATTCCCAGTAGCTTGTTTTTCCTTGAATCGCAGAAAAGATTAGTGGGAGTGTGCTATACAAAAAGTGAATAAGAAAGAATTGTAAACAATAGTGTGTCACAGCAAAGGTGTACTAATAACTATTATTTTAAACATTCAAGACAATTAATGAATGATGATTACCGTTTGTAGAACCAAACAAACACTTTCGTTTTACCTGAATTTGATCCATTCAATAGGTATGAGTTCTAGTAGGGGTTACTGTTAACAAGGAAACAGGAATTCATAATGCTTTTTTTAAATGCGACAAAAACTAAGAACACAGGAAGTCTCGACATATCCCCTGTGACTGATGCTTTTAACTTTATTAAATCAGTGAATCTAAACTGCTACAAGACGGAGGTTATGAAAATAACCAACCAACAACAACAGCAGCAACATCCAGCACCAATCACCATCAACGGGAGGGATTTGAAAGAGATTACTTCATTCACTTATCTAGGGAGCATCATCTCAACTACAGGAGGAACGGACGAGGATGTCAAATCGAGTGAGAATCGGGAAGGCGAGAAACACATTCATTAACCTGAAACCAATCTAGAAATCTTCGTCACTCAGCCAGCATCAACAACAAAATTCGGTCGGATTTTCAATACAAACACGTCAAGTCAGTCAGTTCTTCTATACGGATCAGAAACTTGGCGTGCGGGTCACAAAGAATATTTCCAACAGCCTGTTGCAGACCTTTATCAACAACTGTCTTCGCTGGATCTATACTCAAGATCAGATGGCCGGGCCGGAAAGAATCACCAACAAGAAACTATGACCGGGAACAAAGAAAACAAGAACGAATCGCCGCCCAACAAATATGCAGGAGAAAGTGATGGAGATGGATTGGACACTCGCTGAGGAGGCCACTGGGTGACATCGCGCGTCAGGCCATTGATCGAGTGGAACCAGGCTGAAAGGGAAGCGGCGAGTAGGACGTCAGTGCAAGGGTGACATGGAGGAGATCGTGTTAAGAGGAGCTGAAGCAGTCAGTATGGACTAACATAGATGTAGGTGAAAAGTACAGCAGAAGACAGAAGTGGCAAGTGGAAAGGTGCAGTTGAAGGCCTATGTTCCACTAGGAACCCAAGGGAACAATAATAACAATAAACTGCCACAACACGAACTTTTTTAGAGAGATAGGTCTATACTAAAAGTGATCGAATCTTGATTATAACGTATAGCGAATAGTATTACAAATTTGTTAAAGAATCCAATAATAACATGACGTGAGGTGAAGGGAAAGTAGTCAGATTTTCACAATCAAGTACTGATGGCCAAGGTGAAGAAAGCGTCTATAGGAATTTTTTCTGAACACATAGACTTGGCTTCTTCAGGTGGATTCCGATAGCTTCAGACATATGTAAAAGACGAACTTGTAAGGTAAAGTTAAGATTAGTCGGAATACAATAGGTAACTGTAAACGTCTTATTAACATCAACTTTATGTTCAATATCTACGAGGTGAGCGAAAACAGAACTATAAAAAGACCTTGTTTACTTCATGCAGGATGACGTTCAGAATTCTGATGATGAACATGCCTAATTATATGCCCGGAGTAACTATAACTCCACAGGAGTTGTCAAACCGATAGATAGACAGACATAGGAGGAGGCGAAATCAGGTATTTTATCCTTATTTCTCAAACGTAAAATTGAAGTGTTTATGAAGAAACACTTTACCTATTTTTTTCTGAATGCTCTGTTTATTGCATTCTTTAGGTGTTGCGTTATTATTTCACTAATGTTATCGCCACGAAACTAGAGTTTTAAGAACATGAGTTTCTTCGGAGCTGTTAATTTTCTAGATTGCCATAGCGGTTAATTGATATTCTTGTCAATAAACATTTGTGAATATTCATTTTTGTCCGGTAATTCTCGAATAATCTCGAGTTTCTGTCATTGAAAGAGTTATTCTTCCTTCACATTTCCCAGTGGAACATAGGGCTTCAAGCTAGTGGCTTGAAGTTTCTGTAGCAGTGGTGATTATTTTTACAGGATGGGGTTGCTAGCCTCATGCCCAACCTTTCCTCTTTACCAGCATTATTTCTGGCTTAGCGAGGTAAAGGAGTGCGTCGGTGGCCGGGGATCGAACCCCGGACCATGTGCATGGTCGGCGAGTGTCCTAACTGCTGTGCCACCGATGCTGATTGAAAGAGTTATCACAGCACATTACACTAGCACTGTGAAGCAAACAATTTACTAAATTGCGTTTGAATTTCAAAGGTACAAAACTTGAAGAAGTCGAACTTATATGTTGGGAAAAAATTCACACAATCGTTTTCTTTACGTTGGACATCATTACTTGATTGTAAAGATCTAACAATTTACCCTTTCGTCTAAGCCATCAACAAGCTATCATCATTTTAATTATGTTAAATTTTCGTATACGTTTTGTTTTTAATTTTATCTAACATTCAGTTTAGTATTTATATTTATATACATTATCACGAATACATGTTATTGAACTGTAATCCACTGAGCTTAACAAATCGGTATTACTTAAAAAAATCGATATTATCGATAACAATTAATCTTTAAACGTTATTTACATGTAAGTGTAGAAGGTAATGTGGAAGTTGTTGAAGGGAATATTCTTTGTTCAGTCTTTATGTCTTACCCACTGAAATCTCACTGTACTTAAAAAACTACGCAATGCATTACATACCTGATCTAGCTCTACTATTTTTAGTTGTTGCTGCTGTTAGGAGAACAAGGAGGAAGTGGTTGCTCAGAAAGCGGTATTGATATGAGGACAGATATATATATATATATATATATATATATATATATATATATATATATATATATATATATATATATATATATATATATATAATTATGCTTATAACCCTTAATGAAGACTTATCAACGTTTTAAAAAGATGAGTCCGGATAATGTAAAAGCCTAACTCAGATATATGATACATTAAAACCAAGTATACTTTCGTCATACAGTTAAATGAAGAAAAATAAAATGAATATACAAGTTTGATCACGGGCTGTCATCAGTTACAGAACCACTGAAAAATCACGTAATAATAGGCAGCTATTTTGTCCTGGTTCAGGACTCTTCATCAGCATGGGCTTACTGAGGTTCGACCTAATGACCCTTCAGTAACAAGGCGAGGTTGTAAACCATCTAGCTACTGGGAACCTATCCAGTGGCCTAGGGATTCCAACTTTTGACTATATACACAAGAAGTCGTGAGCGGGAGAGTCCACAAGTCAGGTAAAAGGACAGTTACCCGCCAATGATGCTGACTTTCATTTGCGTCACATATTGTGAATCGGTAGAACTTGATGTCCATAGACCATTGGATAGGGTTTCAGTGGTTGAATGATTTACGAACTCTTCTTGTATCCGGAAAAAACTGGGTTTAATTCCTGGTGGGTAAGCACTGCCGAAGAGTTCCCAAAGTAGGATGGAACAGTTATCCAGTACTCCTTGATTTTCCAGTGATTCTGTAACTGACATCAGCTCATGGTCAGATCTTTAGCCAATCAAATCCCTGCAAACTCGCGCTTAAAACGAATTTATTTAAACTTAAGTGAGGTAGTATTCCTAACTGAACTGAACAATGCAGATGTCAATGAATTGAATTCATTTAGAACACTAATACTACACACCAATCTTGCTATAAAGTTTGAATCTTAAAAACTTTCACAGTATTTTATAAAATGTATTGATTAAGAATAATCTTGAAAAAAGTTTATTTGAATAGGCACTAATAACGACAATAGTGTATAGTTAGTTAAGTTAGGCACTCAATCTGACAGATAATAGACAATGATCACCATAGGTATATATTATTTTACACATCAGTAGTTCACCGATAGAATGCTGGCCATCGAAACGCGAAGTCCAGGTTAGATTTATGACCAACTCACACCTACACAACCTCACCTAGTTTGTTAATCAGTAGTAAGCTCAGAAAAGAAGGAAGGTTGGATGTGGGATGCTAACTTATCCCAACCGTTATGTTTCACTTGGAACAAAAAGGATGAGAAAAAAAATAGTTATACACGTGAAGCATAATGAAAAGATTGAAGTACACTCAACTCTTTACACTTACTAACATCCACCTGTAAATAAAGTCACTTTGCAACCAGTGGATACGCCAAATAGGATAGCTCTCAGAACGCTATAATCGACAGCAGAACGCTAAAATACAGTAAAATCAAAAGTATAAAAAACTCAGATTAGTTTTAGAAAACTACTAAGTTAAGTCATCGGTTAATAATAGTGTTCACATTTCAATTGGATTACATTAACACCTTTGTGTTGTTATTATTGTAGTTTTTATTGATGAGACTAGATGTTTACCGCAGATTTTACGAATGGATGACTGTCTGTCTTTGGATGTCGCCAGCTGTGCGTTAGTTGATAAAACTAAATCGATAATAGAATTTGTTTATTTCGTGGGACTCAGTGAAAACAGGTGCATTTTATATGGTCGTAAAGAGTAAATCAGTAAGTTATCGAAACAATAAAGAAAATAAATGCAAGAGGTGAGAAAAATATAATTAAAGCTGAGAATAGAGAATTAAAGCCCTGTGGTGGAATAAAACTTCCATATTCGATAAGTTCACTTGATATAATTATCAAGTATTGGTTAGCAGGGATTTGAATGGTTACAGGTTTGATAATTAGTTGGAGATCAGTTAGAGAACCATTGGAAAACCAAAAGGATGTATTGGACAGCTGTTTCGTCCTAGTTTAGGCCTCTTGAGGAGTACGTACCCACCCAGGTCCGAACTCAGAACCTTCCTGCTACCAGACGAGCTAGTAGATCATTCAGCTAATGGGATTCGACCCATTAGTCGGTGGATTCCAACACACACACACTGACACAGTGTTAATGACTTTTCTGGTACAATTTATTGTTCATAATTAGACCAATGTATTCAAATAACTTTCGAATGTGTTTCAGGGATATTTTTTAAAACTCTTTTTGTTTTTCTAAATGTAATTTTCCATATGTTCGAGATAAGTGGTGTGTCACTTCTATCTCATGTATTTACCATTGACTTGATGAACAAAGTCTCGATGATTAACCTGTTAGTCTAAGTATAGTAGCCTTCCATACTTTTACTCTATCCCACCTATTGTTTGATTACATGTAAATGAATTTATTGTAATAGTCAAGCTTTGCTTTGGAAAACTTAATTCAGCGGGGTAAATCATTCTACGTCTAGTTAAATTCCTATGTTCCGACAGAGTAACTGATCCCGATCTACTAGTGTGATCTATGTAATTCCCCTCACAGACATTACATAGTATTTGGTAAGCTATATTATTTTTCCTATAAGGGTCTATTGGATATCCGTAAACTGACAAAATTTGTCTCTGATTAAGTTACTTGGTTTAAATATCATCAGCTTTATTAAGAATCCTACAGACGGTCTGTAATGTATCATTGCTTATATGAAAGTAACATTTGTTTTTATTCCTTTACGTTCCCAATGGAACATAGGACTTCAAGCTAGAGACTTGAAGTTCCACTAGCAGTGGTGTTTATTTCCACGGGATGGGGTTGCTAGCTTCATGCCCCACCTTCTCTCTTTACTAGTCTTATTACTCGCTTAGCAAGGTTTGGGAGTCCGTCAGCCGGGGATCGAACCCCAGATCACATGCGTGGTTGGCAAGCATTCTACCGGTGTGCCACCAACGCACAAATGAAAGTAATATAGAGGCTTTATATTCTTCACTATTTACTTATATTACCTTTATTCCTAAGTACTCCGATACATTGATCTGGTCAGATTGTTAGTCAATGAGAGAAACAAAAATGTACTGATAAAAAGTTGATTTATACATTGATTTGATTTCGTGTACCTACTCGAAAATTGGGTATACAACAATTTATAAAGAATACACCTTTTCAAATTCAGTAAATTTGATAACTCCCGGCCGATAACTGCTACCTTGTCGTGGTGATCGGGCTTGAATACCGTATTGATCCAACATGCTAAACTGACTGGGACTCTGTGCCTGCAGGTCCTACCATATCAGGAAGGTTGTTTGGATAGCGGTTAAACTAAAAGCAGTTACCATGGGGTAAATGGGCTCCAGTATTCAATCGGATCAAATGACGTACGAACCAATATGGGTCACCGGAAACCATAGGAATGCAGCTCCTGACGCTGCTCCGCTGCCTTGTGGATTAGACTCCGAGTCAAAGGCTCGGGAGTGGTCCTTCAATAAAACCACCTGCTTCGGTCTGGGCGCCCAGGAAGTATCTCAGCCCTCCTCACACAATGAATTGAATAAAGCAACAAACAATCAATGAAACGTATCGCGTGATATTACACATATTGCAGTTTCCTTCTTTCTTCCCTTCCCGATGACAGTTAACGAACACTGTTTGAACTTGTTAAGCATGACTGTTTTCCTTCCAGATGAAGTTCTTTATCCGTTCTCTGCTTGTATATATATATATTCTTTTTTCATCTGTGTTGTTTTATTATTATTGTGTGGCGCATCCTTTTTGGTGCCATATTGTACCAAGTTTTTATACGTTGAAATAAATAAATAATAAATTTGATAATTACAACACACAGTAGAATAAAGTTCTATCTCTCTTTTTTTACTGCCATATATGCAGGCGCGTAAAATATTCGGCAGATAAATGATATTATAAGAGTTTACAAGAAACACACAGCAATGATATCACTGATAATAAAATATGGACACTAGTCACTGAACACATGATAGAAACAGACACTAATCAAATAGAACTCTTAACTGATCATATCATGTAATTAAATATTTATCAATTTTATATCCTAGTTAGTACTCAAGGATCGATGAATAATACACTAAAAAAACACATTGTTTCAAAGTTCGTATTCGATTATATAACTATGCTGTAAGATACCCATTCGAAAGTTTCTACCAATTAACTAAACACGATAAAGAAGTGATAGGAGGCGGCGAAAACCAGGTAAAAAAAACAGTCTTAGACCGGTCTAAACCAATTTGAACAAATTAAACCATTAGATCGAAGCAGAGTATGTATTATACCATGTGATTGAACGACCTAGAAGACTGACCTTATGCCGCGTATATAATTGATTAACTATTGGCTTAACTTTCCGAGTCATTTAATATTTGTGTATTTTTGTACGGCAAAGTAGAATTGTTGTTACCGACCCCAACCAGTTCATCTTCTGTTTTTATTAACATGGGCTAAGGAAGGTGGAGGAGGAGGAGGAGGGTAATTGATTACTGACCAGTTTCTAGTCTTTGGCCGAGTTGATTGTTGCTTTCCATTACTGAACACACAAATCAGCAGTAGGAATCACCACTGACAGACACATCAAGAAGCAAATAATACAGCCTCAAAAATATTCAGATAACATGAAGTAAATAAAGAAGAAAAAAAATAAACCACAGATGGTATGTCAAACAGTAATCAAAAATACACAATAAAAAAGAACAACGCTTAAAGAATTCATATATATACTAACTCTGGCGATATGTTGTGAGCGAAATATTGTAAGGCTATTAGTCCGTATAAATTCATCATAAGATACAACTAAACGCATAGCACCCGTAATAACTCCAAATGAAATACCAATATATATAGGAAGTTTTCGTCTTATTCTACCCATTCGATTTAATTCTTGATCGTACAAATAAGGACTAAAAGTGAGAAGGAAAACAGAAGAAAAAAAACAACAATACATAAATGTGTAAGGTCTATATCATATCAATATCTTGTTTTATTTTATTCGACAGCAATTTAACTCGAGAGGTTTAGCAGGAAATTATGAAGAAATGAAATAGGTTTACTTATTGTCCATCTTAACATCAGTGAGGTATTAATTAGCACAACGACTAAGGAATACAGAGGTAAAAAGAGCATTCAGTGCTGCTAAATTATGCTGTGCCTTTAAAACCATCCCTATTTAGCGTTAGGGAGTAAAAGATAAACTGCCTAACTTTGCCTCTTTCATGTGTACCTACCAATTTGACTGTTCCTGTAGAACCAGTTACATAAGCCGTATAATTAGGCGTGTTTCTCGTCGGATTTCCGAACACCGTCCTGCATTGTAGTTAAGTAAAGGACAAACAAAATCCATTCATAGCGCTATTCTATCTCATCTCGTGGATATGGAACGTAACATTGATGATAAAGAAGTGGCTTTCGAAGTCATCTACCGCATACTAACTAGTCTTAACTTCATCTTACGAGTTCGTCTACTACATATTGTTGGGGCTGGCTGCTGGGATTTACATTGAGCAACCTAACTTATGATGTATCCAAAAGAAGTTGGTTGGTTCAGACACTGTTCTTACCTTGACTATCAAGGTTTTAATGATCCTCAACTTTTTGTGGAAATTTCTTTAGTTTTATTGGATATTTCGTTTGCTATTACATTTTATGCATCTTTCCTGAACCGTAATTCCATTGATCTTAACAAATCGATAGTATTTAAAAACACCAATATTGTTAATGAAGATTATTCTAGAATATTCTATATATGTAATTGCAGAGGCAGAATAGTAAACTATCGAAAAGGATATGCTGAGCCCATATTTTTTCTAAAAGAAAGAAATAAGATCGGTCAATACAAAAAATGTTGAATATTTGATGGTACAGACATCAGGTACCTTGCATTATCATATGGTCTCTTATCATAATACTATAGGTTCACGATAGTTTTTACAACGTGAAAGACTGAAATCAGATTGCATCGAAATCTTAACATGCACTTAGAAAAAAGTCATTTCTATAGACAAAACACATGATAGAATAGTGTGAATGTCAACGGATGCAGAAGTTAATGGTATTTTGATTTGTGATCATTGATTTTAAGACTTAAAGAATGAAGGCTAGACTGCCTAGTACATTAACCACATTGCTTATGTTTACTATAAGGCGAAGCTATATTACTACTAATAAAATTGTAGATGATTTACAATTAACATGGCAAATGAATTCGATATGCTTCACATGCCAAAGTGGTTGGCAGTGAGAAAAAACCTATCAGATTAGAGAGGGAACTAATAAATCATGCTACTTCTGTCTATTATAAAGTGTTTAGTTGGCTGCGTAGGCAAGACCAGTCGGATTTGGTTTGTCCATTCAGTGTATAACTGGTTGATGTGATCACTAGTTAGTTACATAAAGTTTTTTTTATTCTATAAGGTCCAAATGGAGCATACGATTTCAAGCTTTGAAGATTCAGTGGTGATGGTGTTGCTTTTATTCGGAGTGCGATTGATAACATTACACTCAACTTTTTTTACGGGTTAGCTATCCAACAGTAAACTAGGCGGCGTTTAGGAGTGTATCGGCAGGGAGTTAAACCCGGACTACCTGCATAGCTGGAGAATATTCTATCAATGAACTATCAACACACGAGTAAATATGCTTTACATACAAGCGCAAATCCAACCGGTGTTTGCCAAATGAAACAAAAAGCGCGTTTTACATTCCTTTAAGAGCCAACATCAACGAGATAACATTACGTCAAACATGAGACTTCGTCAAATCGCCTAAACTAGGAGTCAGTATGTCAACAGAGACACAGCATTTCACTCTAATAAAATCGATTAATGGTATGCTCAAGAAATAGTGATTTCAAAAAATAAAATCATTCAGAGTAAAGTTGAAACTATATTATTATTGCTTATAATTTAGGAATTGCGTCGGTGGAATGCTCACCAACCATGTATGTGATCCAGGGTTCGATTCCCCGTCTGTGCATACCTTTCTACCTCTCTCCCTTAGCCGGTTTTAACCCTGACAAAGAAGGAGGGTTGACCGTGGGGCTAGGAACTCAATCCCATAAAACATCACCGCTACTGAAACTTCAGACTGAAACTCAGAGCCCTCTGTTCCACTCGGAACGCAAAAGCAGTTATATATATATATATATAGTCTTCAAGAGTTAGTCGCTAAAAGCCGAGGTGTCCCACTGGTTTAGACATTTAACATTCACATGCTACAGGTTCTGGATACAATCTACCTCAATATCTAATATGACAGTATAAAAAAGGCGGAACAGGGATGGGAAATGCTGATAAGTGAAAAATAAAATGTGACTTACTCCGTCGAAAATACTGCATATAGCCGATCGTACACGGAGGTTGATTCAACACAAGTTACTGAGGATGGTATTGCACTTTTGTACTCTTCATTTACATCTGGAACAAGTTCTGGAAGAATTTTTTTCTGAATGATTTCATCTCGACTTTGTAGTATATTATTCAATTCTTCAGAACTAACACCCAAAATATCTTCATCAGTATCTGGTATATTCATACCTAGATTTAGTAAACAATACAATAACAACTTGACTCAAAGTTAAGTTATACAGAAGACAAAATTAAAATGACGTACTTTCCGTAAATTAAAAAAAAGAGAAGCAATAGAAAATCATAGAGATAAGTATAAAAATGCTGAAAGGTAAGAACGAAACATTAAGACAATTGGATTTTTAGAGTAAGTTATTGGTAGGCAAGTTATTGTACTGAGAACATTTTCGAGTAATATTAGCAACAAAAAGAAATATCAAATCACTTCACTCTTTTTCTTTTTTGAACAGACAAAACCTAATGCTTTCAGCATGAATTTCTTCTTTTTTGAATTCTATAGAATTACCGGTTGGCAGGAAACACCGACATTATAATACGCATTTAAGATTAAGAATTCAGATTCTTCAAATGGTATGAGACAACTATCCAGATTCCTACTTTTAATCTTTAACATATCAACGTTGATGGGGTAAAGATAAAACAATGAAGCAGTTGGACTATGGTAGAATTGTCGGATTGCCTTATAACTAATCGATGGAGTATTATGTATCTTATATAATACGCCTTACAATCACCTTTTTCGAGTTTATTCAATCAATCAGGATTACCTGCTACATTAGAATGCCTATGAGTCTCAATGAATTATTCTATTATGATTATTTTATTCCCATGAATTCCCAGTGGAACGTGGGACTTCAAGCTGGTGCTTTGAAGTTTCGGCAGCAGTGTTTTTTATTTTTACCGAGTGACATTGCTAGTATCACGGCCAACCTTCCCTGTTTGCCACGCTTATTACCAGCTAAGCGACGTTTGGGAGTGCATCAGCCGGGGAACCAACCCCGCAGCATCTGAGTGGCTGGCGAGCATTCTGCCTCAGCGCCACCAAGGCACACAATGGATTATTCTAGAACAAAAGACAGAGAAGAATTACTCAGTTTATTACATTTTAGGCGGGGTTACTTATTTCCGTAGTGTGTTTTGGAAGATATGCAAGCGAAAAGCAACAAGCTGGCGATAGAAGAAGCATCAAAGATAGGACTTCAAGTGAACATAGATAAAACAGAGGTGATGAAGATCCCTGGTAAACACCAACAGTAACAACAACAACAGACGACAGTCAGCATAAATGGGAGGAACCTGAAAGAAACAACCTCCTTCACCTACCCAACTGGGAAGCATCGTTTCAACTACAGGCGGACAGAACTGATGAGGATATCAAAGCCAGAATCGGAAAAGCAAGACAAACTTTCATTACTCCTAAGTTTGTGTGGAGGTCAACAGCACTCAGAATCAAAAATAACATCCGAATTTTCAACTCCAATGTGAAGTCAGTCAGTGTGACTATACGCATCAGAGACTTGGTCAGCGCGTCATAAAGAGCATCTCCAACAAACTTCAGACCTTCATTAACAGTTGTCTTCGCTCAATACTCAAGATCAGATGGCCGGCCAGAAAAGATCAGCAAAAAAGTTCTCTGGGAGCGAACCAACCAGGAACCGATTGCGAAACAAATAGGCAGGAAGAAGTGAAGATGGATTGGCCATATACTGAGGAAACCATCAAGTGACATCACTAGACAAGCCATTGCTCGAGTGGAACCCGAAAGGGAAGCGGCGAGTTGGTCGTCAATGCAAGGGTGACTTGGAGGAGGTCATGTGAGGAGGAGATGAAAGCATGTGGGCAGACTTGGAGCGGGGTGAAAAGTTGGCAGAAAACAGAAGGCAATGGAGACGCGCAGCTGAAGCCCTATGTTCCTCTAGGAATTAAAGGACATAATAATGATAAAAGTTAGAATGCATGAGCTGGCCATTGAGTGGCTTTAAAAATCGGAAGGTTTTGGTTACGAAACGATGAGTCCCAAAATAGAACGAAACAAATGTCTAATACTCCTGGCTAGTTTTCAATGTTTCTCTAACTGCTATCAATCTGTAGTCCAACTTGAAAAAAAAATTAAAATCATATCCACACGCCATAGTATGCAAATCTGGTAAAACTAATTTTACAATAAAAAATCAAGGAACCAGCTATCAAACGTTGAATTATACCAACACACCGACACAAATGTGAAGTCAGTCATTCCTTCTATATGGGTCAGAAACTTGCACTGGATATCACGAAAAGCATTTCCAACAGGTTAGAAGCTTTTGTCAACAGCTGCCTTCACTAGTTGGCTCCATACTGAAGATCAAATTGCTGGCCAGAGGGAATAAGCGAGAAGAATCTGTGAGAACAAACCAACCAAAAGCCGATGGCTCAACAAATGTGTAGGAGAAAATGGAGATGGATCAGGCTTACATTGAGGAGGCAGTCAAATGATATCGCGCTCCAGGCTCTCGAATGGAAAGCGACGAATGTCATCCCAGGGTGACATGGAGGAGATCGTGTGAGGAGGATATAAGAGAGTTTGAGCAATCGTGGACCCAGCTGAAAAGGACGGGAGAAGATAGGACAAAGTGACGATATGTTTTGTTGAAGCCCTATGTTGCACTCGGAACCCAAGGGGAATAAGAATGAATTTTTAAAAATACCAATAACCTGTCCATCTGAAGAAAAGTAGCTTAAATTAGCTTTACCTTAAGAAGTAGTGCACCACTAGCACACAAACATGCATGCATGCATACATACCAACGTACAAACCGAAATAACAAGTACAGCCGCTTAACTATATGGCATTAAAAGTAGTAGCAACAGAAAGAATGTCAGTACTTTACAGTCGAAACTATTCCGCCATTATTCTCTGATTTACCGTAAGAATAATAATAATTTAAAAAAAAATTAGAGTGTAGATCATTACAAACGTAAAGTATCTTTTTGAAATCATTTAAATTAACTTCAAAACAGACAGAAACATTCGAAATACAAACTCCAACTAAATTCTTCACAAATTTGGAAAGACACACAAAAGAAAACTAATTCAGAGTAGGAAAAAAAAATTTTTATTTAACAATTTATATCACACACACACACACAGTGTCAAAAACTATGAACAAACTGTTTTGTAGGATAAATATTTCAACAAAGCAATTGCATAGAATAAAAAAAGGCAATAGAAATTGTGGAGCATATACTTGTGTACAAATTTCAAGTTTGAATGAAATAAACTGGGGATAGAATTATTAGCCATCGGGTGGTGAAATACAAGGACTAGCCTTTGATGACACCAATTGGACGTAATTTGAGTACTTTGTTACTTATTCCAGCAGCTTGACCTAAGGAGAAAGAGAGAAGATAGAATAAAAAAAGCCTGAGGACAGTTGAAGATGTAAAGCACGATAAAAGGTGATTATTAGCATATAATAAAACAACAGATATTTAAAAACATAAATATTGAAAGATGATAAGGTGTTGCGTATTTCGGTAAGCCAGAAACAGTTAGCGAATCGCCCCTGTACAGGATACCACTATTCATTCTAATGTATTTAAAAAGCTTGTCAAATTAATGAACTTGAACCAACACAATCAGTACTGTCTAGAGGAATATAGTGATAGAATTTCAGGTGATTTTTGCACCGAGAACTACAAGCATTTCAATAAACAGTTTTCTTCAGGGTGAAGCTTTTCCACTACATACTTTCCACCAACTTCGAATGTGAACGTGAAGTTATGATGACTTCCAATGAATACATTATTATTATTGAATATTAAAAAGAACAGAAACTTGGTGCATTATGAGCACCAAAATATGTGCCATACAAGAGAAATAAAACAACAATATATCCAAAGTGCGAATAGGCATATTCGTCAAGACCATCCATCCCTTCATGTTACTTTTAGGAAGGGAAGTAAAAAGAAAATCGCAGCATATTCGCCAATGATTACGATTCTTCGCCATATCTGATGACGTTTTGAGTCACTGATTCGAATCACTTCTTGGACACCATCCAGAAGGTTGAGATGTACCAACTGATACTAACTTAAATTAGGGCAACACATAAACTGCCCACCACTCTGCTCTTTCCATCTAGTCTTAAGGTTAGCGAACAGTAACCAGTATGAGAGGCCCTCGAATGAAATTCGTATTACATGTCGAAGCCACCAAGACCGGTGTTTTAAGATGACCATATTCAATGAATGATTATCTCTTTCGTTTCCAAACACATACTGCCAGACCTCAGGATTGTTTACACGATGATGCTATCGAAGGTGAGCAGTTCTACGGCGACAGCGATGACCAAATACTCAGAGTCGCACATCCTCGGCTAGGAACGACCAGGTTTTACAGATGTAGAACATTACTGTGCACACCAAAGCATTACAAACCAGACCGCTGACAAGCATGATGGCGCTAGAGATAGTCTGATTTGGCGTATGATACGCTAGCTCTGATATACTGAACAAAAATACATATATTGGTATTTATGAACCTCCGATGATTTATGTTACACTGAAACCCGATTTCAGTTGCGATCGAAAGATATTATTATCACATTCAACCTAATTTTCATCAGTTGCTAGCATGACAGCTGTTCACGGTTAACAGCATCAAAGTGCTTGAAGTTATCATTCCTTAATGGAAGTGCAGAATTTAAAGGTGATCCTGTAGCTAAGATTCTGAAGAATCACTTGTCCAGACTCTTCAGGTTGAGCTACGGACTAATTTCCACACTCAACAAATGATCAATGGATGTGCGAAGGGAAAACTGCCACTTTAATGTGTGTTTATAAATTAACTTGCTCGTATGGAGCTAGCTTTATTGATCGCACACTTTCCAAACGCATCTTTGAACATTACCCGGCATAGTTGTCAAGAGGAAGATACGAGAGAATGACTAGCTCGATTCTTTAGCACCTGATGAACTCAGATCACGTTATGCATGAAAGCCGAATCATAATAGTTCAGTCGGAATGGAAGCTAGTTGTCAAGTGTAGAGGTATGGTGGACAGATAATACATCGTGACCCCGTTGGCTTAATCACTTGACTTTTAGCTTCATTGTATGACGAGCTGACACCTTTTGTGTTAAAGATAAAGCTATTATCATGACTCGCATTTGCCAGTTTACGCCGACTCTGGCGTAGACGAGATGTTCGACTATCGACCAAAGGGCGGGTGTACTGCTCATCAGTCCGCTCCGTCCTCCTTTATGGTTGTGAGACCTGGCCACTGAGAGTGGAAGACATGAAAAGACTAGCTGTCTTTGATCATAGGTGCCTGCGCTCTATTTCCCGTGTAAAGTGGCATAATAAGGTGAGCAACATTGAGGTTAGGCGTCGAGTGCTAGGTAAACAGGGGAAATCAATCGACGAAGTCGTGAAGTTACAAAGACTGAGATGGTTAGGACATGTGTTACGTATGCCAAGCCATCGCCTCCCTCGACGAGCAATGTTGGCTGATATTGGGTCAGGCTGGAAAATAGCTAGCGGCGGTCAAACAAAAACTTGGCACCAGTCAATAAAATCCACAACAGTTGGTCTAAGCCAGCCACGTAGGAAGGTGTAGACTTCCAGGCTGGGGTCCTCGGGACAATTGGTGACATGGCTCAAAATCGTTCTCAGTGGTGCAGATGCATCCACTCCTTGTGACTTATGATTTCCTATGAAACTGTTTTGTTCTTCGTCAATACTCCTCCTTTGTCTCACACCTCTGCTCACTGTTTCTATTATGCTTTTCTTGTACTTTCTTCTCTTGCTTCGCGTGCTACACGGAATGTGGCGACTTGAACTTCCGCACATTTGTGCAAAGTTCTATGTCGAAAACAGACAGACAGACAGACAGCTCTACCAGAGTCATCTTTTCAAATCATCTACAAAGTAAGGCCGACTTCTACAAGAGGGTTAGGTTTCGGCACTAGAGATTCATTGATATAAACTGAATTTACCAAACAGCGATAAATGGGAAGAGTAACTTACATGTATTTACAACATCTGTAACATTTTTATATGATTCAGGAGCCTCTTCCATAACAAGTTTAGGAGAAGCAACACGTATGGATATACCTTTTTCTCGTAACTGTTCTAAAACGTCTGTATAATCCAAATTACGTCGAGATTTTGCACGAGACAGTGCCCGACCCTAAGAATCAAAACAATTAAAAAAAATCTGTAATAATTCTTAAGAAGAAAAAACTTTTCACGTCTAAAATATTCCAAAACTGCATACTTTACATAACAATTTGCATATTGTACACTATTTGAAGCATACACAATCATAAAAATCTTCTAGTTAGGTAAAAGTGCATGTTGAGTTAATGTCAAAAAAGGGACTATTACTCATGGCTTATAGCCAAGGTAAACGATACAATTTCCATAATTAACTGCATGTCAAAGGATACCAATTTAAACAGCTTACAGTCAGTTTCTATAAATTATTTCCAATCCACATAATAATACAACTATGAATAACACGCCCATTGGAATCAATATTAAAATGAACACTGTGATTGTGTATTTGTTTCCTATTATTCGATGTAAATTAAAACTGCTACATTATTGTGGCATAGACTTGTCTGTCATCTTATCTATGACTGATTCAGGTTCAGTATATAGAACTCTGCATACATAGAAGTGCAGCAGTTCAAGTTGTCACGCTTCATACAGCATTACGAAGTTTGAGAAAAGGAAAAACAAGGCAAAGTTAAACTATCATAGCCAAAACCACAGTGACCTTGAACAACCAATAAGAATTCAGATGCAGAAAGGTCGTATACTTGTTGAAAAATGCACTAAAAAACACTGTAGAAATGATATTCTACTATATAGTTATCGTTTATGTGTTATAAGGATGTCTACCAGTCGCTGAACAGATGATCTATAGGGAAATTATACCATGCGTGATAGATGCACTCATCCAGGTGACTGTAAGTCACGGTACTATGATGGTCTGTTGATATTTCTGACAATGTTTTTAAACCTACTCCTAACTCTAACCATAATCCTAATTCTTAATCCTAACTTTAACACTAGACCCTACCTCATAGTATAGATTTACAGAAAAGGTACCTAGGGAATAAGTGGAATACTGTATCTACCTTCTCCAAGTCCAAAAAGGCACGCATGATTTGATTTGGAATCTACACCCAACTCGTGCAATAGGAATGACTCATCACTCATACCGGAAATACCGAAAATACTACTACCAGCCAAGTCAAGCGATGAAAATAGTGGAATTATATAAACGAAGTTAGAAAGTTGTGTGAGTACCTCTATATAATTATGAGCGGCAATAAATTGTGCTCGAAACGTGGTCATTAGTAAATATTACTGTATAACACTGTGAGACTTTATCAAAATAAATTTTACCTACAATGAAATTATACTCTGCGACATTGCACAAGTTCTTTTCTTATATCAACCAGTAGAAACGTTCGGGAGAATGAATAGTAACATGGAAATAATACGAGGATTTCATGGATTTGGGAAATGACAAAGAGTGCATGCTTCTTTCTGGACAAGTGACCATAGTTTTAATAATATAATAATAATATTAACAGCTTTATTCCAAACGGTATTTGTGGTACAGGTATGGAATTTTCAGCGTGCATTACAATACACTGCATCTAATTACCTCATAAATTTTATAAGATTTTTAAAATCAAAAAGCCATACCACCTAAAACCTCAAGTCATTGGGTTCTTAGCATCCCCAGGACTCCCAACCATCCAGTCTACACTTCCCTAAGTCGCCGGCTCAAACCTATTGTCAAAGTCTTCAAAAACTAATGTCATCTTATGGTTTGTCCACCCGTAACTCCTTCCCAACGTACTGTTATGTCTGCTAACATAGCTAGACGAGGAAGACGATAGATAAAAGTAAAGTTTCGCATAAAGTAATTATTAGTAAGCCTAATTTAGTTATATAGTACTCGGTATATGTTAGACATAATACATAAGCAGCTTACAATACCAAATGACTTATCACATAGAAACAACTAGAGTGAAGTTCAGTCCATGATAAAAAGATAATTTATCAGAAGTATTTAAGTAACTAAGATACAATTTTACAAACACATAATTTCCATACGGTGAGTCGGTGGCATAGCGGTTAGGACGCTCGCCGACCGTGCACATGGTCCGGGGTTCGGACCCCGGCCGACTCACTCCTCCTTTACCTCGCTGAGCCATAAATAATGCTGGTAAAGAGGAAAGTTGGGCATGAGGCTAGCAACCCTATCCTGTGAAAACAATCACCACTGCTACAGAAACTTCAAGCCACTAGCTTGAAGCCCTATGTTCCACTGGGGAACGTGAAGGGAAAAAAAGTTTCCATACGTCATTCCAAGAAGTGGCGATAGAAACACTTAGGTACATAAGCATGTCTAAAAACGACAATAACAAAAGGTAGAGTTCAAAATATTATCAATTTCAACAATCTTGTATGTATTAACAAAGTTACTTTAGAAATATATTAAATGATGAAAAAGTATATGACATATTGTTACACAACACTACTCACAGCACCATGACATGTAGATCCAAATGTTTCAGTCATAGCTTTCTCAGTACCTGTTAGAACATAACTACACGTACCCATAGTACCACCGATAAGTACAGGTTGACCAGTTAGCTGTAAAAATATAACAAATCATATTCACATAATATGTGAGTGTTTGTGTAAAAGAAAAAGGTTGTTTCTAACAATATTGATTTAGGCTTTTCAGGTAAATTAATGATTTCTTTTAAACTACACATGATAAGTACATATATATATATATATATATATATATATATATATATATATATATATATATAAACATTTCTTGGATTCTATTTATTTTTGTGTGTTTTGTTCTCTGAGCGGGATGTTTACAACTGCGAAGGTACTACCAGTGTCCCCACCGACTACATCTTTAGTGCTAACATCGGTGTGAAGTGTATTTCTTAATTTAAGATAGTTAAATATAAATTTTAAGAAATCGTTACTTGCTTTTGCACGTGAACAGGATCAACTTAATATATCGATGGAAATTAGCTTTTTGAAAATGTACGAGTTTACTTGAGATAAATGAGAAAAATAACTTCAAGAGAAAAATAAGTTAATAAAACTCAAGAGGATCACTGAGAAACAGTCTTTACCCAAGGGTTTTACAGTTGTTTTTTTTATAGCACTATGAACAGTCTGTCTGTCTGGATTCAACATAGAACTTGGCACCGAAGTGCACCAGTTCGAGTTGCCACCTTCCAAATAGCACACAAAAGTAGACATGAAGATGAGTGAAGAGAATCAATAGAGTTTGACAAGTATACGAGTGAAACAGAATGGGTAATGGTAGAAAGGAATATGAAAGATTACAGAGACTGAATACATCTGCTCCATTGACAACGATTTTGAGCCATGTCACCTATTGTCTCCAGTCATTGATTCCTAGAGTCCCGAGGCCCCCTACCCGGGAGTCACCTTGAAGGCTGAGAATACGTTTGATTAGTCGAAAGAGCTTTCCAAACTACTTTTAGTTGAAGTGAAGTTTTGACTAGCATTCCAGTCATTGTCTTCAGTGCCACTTGTGAAGTGATGACGACAGAGGTTATGGCATAATGAATTGGATGAATTATGTGTATACCGTTAGGTTTGATTTACCAATAAATTCTAAAATAACTGATTATGACCGCTGATATACTGTTGGTATATATATAATGATAATTGAAGAAGATTGGTATTTTTGACAGCTTTCGACAGTACACTTGGTATAGCAGTTGGCTGTCAGAATAAGTAACTTGTAGATTGTTCTAACAACTTAAAGTATTTGTTGCTTCAATCGTTAAAAACAAATAAGGTCACATTTTCTGAGTAATTTTGCTACTTTTAAAGATGAATTAGTTTGGATATGTCATTGAGAAGTGTAACATCGAAAGAATGAGTATTTTTTAAGTATTTTTGCTCAAATGAAAGTAGCTGTAGAGATGATTAGAAACGAAAATTCCCCAGCGTCATTTTGCAGGGTTTCAATAGATTTCAGGTCCGATTACAAACTGATATCAATTAGAGAACCTCTGCAAACCAAGCAGTACTGGTCAGCTGTTTCGTCCAAGTTCGAGCTAAACACCGAGATTCGATAGAGGTTAGGATACATGGGTTGTTGGATTCCGTCCCAGTGTTTGAATGGTCAACGAGTCCGCTTCACAACCTCAAGGTCCTGGGTTCAATTACCGTTGGAGTCACGGGTGCGCACTGTTGATGAGTCTAAGACTAAAACGAAACAGTCCTCTAGTACTTCCTAGTTCTTAACGATGCTCTAACTAATATGAATCCGCGATAAAAGAAAAAAATAATAATTCTGTATCCAAATGATCCATTATAAGAAACTTAATTATTTCGAGTTACATTTACGTCTAAAACAACCCACTAAATAAGAAATTTTTCTACAAATATGTATATATATAACACTTATAACAAATTAGATAATCTACTTTACATAATTCCAGATTAATAATTCAACAGAAGTATGGAGTAACAAGTTCGACCACTAACCTGATAGTCAACAGGAATTAAGGGATGATGTGGTGGAAAGGCTCGAGTTGATCCTTTACGATGAACCAATAAAGTTTTCATCTTTCCATCAATCCAATGCTCTTCTACTTTAGCAATATTATGCGATACATCATAAATGATGTGCATATCTAAATCATCAGGTGTTGAATTGAAAATTTTAGCAAAAGCCTATTATGATAAAAAAAGAAACCAATGAGAAAATTGAAAAACACAGAAATTCATTAATACGTAAAAACTGATAGTATTTCCTCAAACTTTAAGCTAAGGGAAAAAATAAAGTGGTCACTGTTACTGATAGAAACACAAGTGTTGTCTGACAATCAGAAGCTCTTAAGAACTATTAGATTTATTACTGAAAATGCATTATCGGGCTATGAGCCTTTGACTTGGAATATATATAACTGATAACAGACAGAGCGTGCATCGGTGGTACAGCCGTAGAATGCTCACCAATCACGCATGTGGTTCGGGGACCGATCCCCGGTCGACGCAGTCCTAAACCTAATTCAGCTGGTAATAAGACTGGTAAAGAGGGAAGGTTTGGCATCAGGCGGCTAGCAACCCCTCCCCCCTCCCGGGTAAAAGTAAACACCACCACTACTGAAGCTGTTCACAACGAAATACAGCTGACTGATTTAATACTTGTTACGAAAATTTATAAAATTCTACTACACTATCACTTGTTCTGATAAATGTAACTCGACAATCAATTATAAGTTTATGCAATCAGCTGTGAGTTAAGCTTTGGTATTTGATGGATTGCCATGTTACTCATTTGTACCAGCCAAAGTAGGTGGAGGAGTTTTTTAACTGAGAATTTATTCCTTTGGAGTTGAAATCAATAAACGATAGCTCAATCATTATTCTCTACTGTACCCTACTACCCGTAAACGCAGTTGTAAAAAAGTTTGCAAGTTGTCATGTTAACTTGACATAACCAAAGAAAATAAACTGTTTGGAACTATAAACAGTGAAAAAATAATTTGTAAAACGGATTGATATCACGAAATAAAATAATTATGAAGCAATTACAGCATTTAAGTGCGTCGGTGGCACAGAGTTAAGACGCTCGCCTACAATGAACATGTTCCGGGTTTCGATACCCGGCCGACTCACTCCTCCTTTACCTCGCTAAGCCAGAAATAATGCTGGTAAAGAGGAAAGGTTGGGCATGGGGCTAGCAACCCCATCCTGTAAAAATAAACACTACTACAGAAACTTCAAGCCTCTAGCTTCAAGTCCTATATTTTACTGGGAATGTGAAGGAAAGATTAAGATTATTACTTACAGCACTTCACATGAGAGTACAACAAGCAAGTAGATACCGTAGTAATCAATAAATATTTATGTTGAGAAAGTTTATAACCTAAGACGTGTATGTGGAAGAAATATTTTAATATTACAAACAAAGGATATATAACAGATAGTGAAATGAAGATTTCGGTTAGGTACACTTCGTTTACCACTAACATCAGCAGTAATTCCGATGCAGGTGCGCTAATTCAACTCACCAAGAGGACAACTAACAGAGACAAGTTTTAGATTTATGATAGTAGTTGTAGTTCGACGGATTAGACATTCAAATATCAACAGGTTAGAATCATACATTGCCTGCCAAGATGGAGCATCTAGTTTACCATCTTAAGTGGGTAAGGAACACTTATCACTTTTATTTTATGAAACTGTATGTGGCTTTTACTGTCATTATGGTCTTCAAATATAAAGAAGCACATGCAAATTGTGTGTACTGATATACACAGCTCAAGGATATTGAGGCAAATACTGTACAGAGGCGTATGATTAGTGCATGTGCAGAACACAACCCTATCTGGTTGTGTAAAAATTTAAAATAAAAAAAACACCATAAGCAACAAAAAATCACCTGTCTAGCAAGAAAAGTCATAGACGACCGATTAACCCAAGCGTAGTTGGCAGCCGCTGCCATAGCCTTCAAATAATCTTGACCTTCTTCTGAAGTGATATGTGCACAAGCCAATTGTCTGTCATTTACTTCTATTTTATCACGTTTCATTGCTCGCTCCATGGCAACTAAAGCATCAGTCGCCACCTACAAAAAAAGTAGACATAGTTCACTTCCAGTGTTAATGTCAATAATATCAACGATAATAGATAATTAGTAATGAAAAGGAAAATGGAAAAGCAGTAATCGAGGTGTATGAAACGCGAGTTAGCTTATAAAAAACAGTTAGAAAACGATATATTTTATGTCCGGTTATGGAAATGATATAAGTAATCTTAGAATGACACAGAGTAACCATTTCGAGCTTGACATTTTACCAATTAGGCAACTGATGTCGAACGACATGAGTGAAAACTAGGGTAGTTTTATACATGTTAACACCCACAAGATTTTACATAAGAATACTGGACATGCTACATCATTAGGTAATTAAACTTAAAGTCATTCAGTCACAAGACTTAACACAATTTTGCCTTAAGAGTGATGAATTATAGGTTACTGATAACGTACAACTTGCTTATAAGTTTTCAACAGAGAAGTTGGTCAGGTATCGAAACATTCAGCTGTTCAATGCTTCCTTGCACATTCAAGCCTACTACAACTAATTTAGGATGATAAGTGTTATAATATCACTGGGTGTAACATTTAGAGTATTTCTCAAAGATTAGCACCTAGATTCGAGTTAATCAAACATGTGTCCCACTGGAAACTAATTCAAATATTTGACTTTGACTTTGAATAGTTGATATTAGATGGTTGGAGGGAGTCGGCAGGAAACCTTGCCTGACCTAAGTTTCGTGCTAGTTGACACTCACAAGTCAGCAAGGCGTATCTGCAACCTTGAAGGGACTCATGTCCCTTCTGATATTCAAAACCACGTCACTCAGTGCTGCAGTCAGAGACTTTGCCACTGAGATATCCGTGCTCGCAATTGACCTCATGTGGGACTGTTGGATACGTTTGATTGGACACTAGATGTTACATGAGTTCCCCCAAGGTTGCAGATTCACTTTGCTGACGGATGCCAACAAGCACAAACCTAGATCAACGAATTCTCGCCGATTGCCTCCAACCATCTAACGGCAATTGAAATCTCAATTAAAATTCTCCCCAAGATAACTAACACTCTTTAGTGAACAACTTCGAATATGGCGTATTGATGTGACATGGAATATTACTCGTGTGTGATCCTTTGAGACTTGCTAACCGTTTGAATAGAAAAACGAAATGATTATTGTATTTAACTGAATTAAAAGTCTTATTAGATTGTGAAAGATATTCAATCATGGATTAACAATTGAGTTTAACGCACATTAGATTATCAGTTAATACTTTGAAGGAATTCACAGATTCATTCAAGATGGTACAGCAATTTTAGTTTACTTTTACAGCAACTGTTAAGGTGTTATCCATAATTGTTAGTACAATTGTTAAAGAGTTTCTAATATTACACACTGATAACCATATGGATAAACCGAAACAATCCTTAAAGGGATAGTGCTTAACAGACAAATAAACGCTAGTGCACTTAGATGTGAATCATACCTAATGTGGAAAGAACTTGAAGATACTAACTGAGGGCTTAAATCATGGTAGGCAGAAAAATATTGAAAAACTACGACCAACTAGCTGAAAGTTCAATGTCTAAACGAATAAACCGTACAAAAAATTGCTTGATTTCAGCTGTTAAACGAAAACAGACGGCTGATGCTCACTAGCGACTGGCCTTATTCAAGCAGTGACCTGGGATTCTAGTGGCATGCCGTGAACAGTAGGGTACAGAAAATGAGGCAGTAACTCATCGAAGAAGACATTGCGAAATGGTCGCGCTATGTCGTGAATTGGCAGAAGTTAGAATTCATGGACTGGCCATTGGATCGGGTCTCAGTAGTTCAATGATCTACGAGCTCGCCTTGAAACCAGAAGGTCCTGGGTTCGAACCACAATGGTAGGTGAGTACTGATGAAGAGTCCCAAACTAGCACGAAACAGCTGTCTAGTACTTCCAGGTTTTCCGGTGGTTCTCTAACTGATATCAGCTCATGATAAAATCCTCCATCCAATATTTTTAACACTAACGGTAATGCCTGCATTAAAGATACAAAAAGTTGATTCAAATAATTTGCATTTTTCATAAGACAAACTCAGAGTGCTAAGAGTGTTAGGAAAAGTGAATCAGACAATTGAATACATTTAATGAGCCTTATTTATTGAAATTCGACCATATTGAAACAGGAGTCATTAATTTGCTTTCAGTTTTTGGTCTTTTTCATAACATTACCACAAGAATGATACAAACAAGAGTAAAAGCTTTACCTGGTGACCCATTCCTCGACTACCACAGTGAATCATGAGGACTACCTGATTCAAGTGATCAATACCCATTTTTATTGCAGCATGTTTGTCAAAAATCTCCTCCACAACTTGTATTTCAGCATAGTGATTACCTGCTCCTAGTGTTCCAAGTTGTGGTAAGCCTCGTTTTTTAGCTCGTGAAGAAACTTTAGCTGGATCAGCTTGAAGCATACGACCATACTCTTCACAGTGTTCTTTGTCATCTGCCCAGACATAACCTAGTAATGTAATGCATATACAAATATTCGACAAAGGTAACAATTTCATTTCATGTAAATTTACTTGACATAACACACGTGATACGTCATTCATAAATGGATGACGTTTCGTGAACAATCTATCACTCATAGTCATATCCATCATACCATTGATTCTACTGTTACACTTAAAGAGGAATACATCGTAGCTTACAACTGTCCACGTACTCCTTAAGCTAAAGATGGCAAGCAGCCTCCAAGCAATAAGTGGTGCTGTAACGATAGAAGACGACAGACTTGCTGAGAGAACAAAACCACATCAAAATCATCCACCTGAGCTACAAATCTTCTCTATCATACCTGAGAGAATGTTTATTTGGAATTTGGTATCTCTATGTAGCAAAATTATGTACACCTTATCTTCAAAGAAACATTTGTATAGATCTTCCGTATTGTGCTAATTCTCGCCTTCATATTGTGTGTTTTTCTTTGTGTTTCTTTCACGTCTCCCATTTATATCCGCAACACTGTACCATTTGCTTTCTCTGACATCAAATCTATCTTCCTGCTATTTGATGTTTTTCTGCCAATGAACGTCTCTTTCTATACTATTGATAAATCTTATCAATAGCACACGTCACAATGCTTGGAAACGAGTTGCTTATATCGATAAATAAAAATAATAAAGTTCCTCTACACTATTTTCTGACTAAATAAATATAAGTGAAATACAACTTTAAAATGTCTTATACATCTGAGTACAACACTGTAAGCTGAGTTTTTCATCATTAGTTTCTGCAATAATATCCAACTATCAAGAAGTTATTATTTTGAGAAACGTTCAAACCTAAGAACCAACGCTTGTAGTCTGGGTTCAAAAACAGCCATGCATATTTCAACTTGGTTTATAAGATTTAATAATAACTACTGAAAACGGAATTAACACACGAACATCGATTAGCTGAGAAAATACAGGCACACAGATGCTACTTACAGGGGGATATGTTATTTTTAAGCATTAGGCTTTTTGTAGAAGTGGTAAAACTGAAATATAGTTTACCAAAAAGCGTTTATGCTTTCTGATATCAAGACTGTGTCTTAGCCGATGGGATAAAAGGTTTTAAAGGGTGTCTATAACAAATTTACTGATACTTTGAAGGATATAAATTTGAAAAGAGTCGGTTGTTTAACGGAAGGAATGAAGTTACGGAGGACTACTTCGCGATTTCTTCATTTTTCTATAACTTTCTATCGATCGAATTTCTCGTGGTGAACATAATTATGACCAAAACCTAATATGCATGTGACAGAGTGTTGGCGCTTAATTACTTGGTGACTTCGTCGATCATAGGTGTCTGTGTTCAGTCACTGGAGTTAGGTGGGAAAATAGGGCGAGTAATAATGAGGTTAGGCGTCGAGTGTTACGTAAGGAGGCAAAGTCAGACGATGAGATTTTGAAGCTACATTGATTGAGATGGCTGGGACATGTGTTACGCATGCCTATACATCGCCCTCCTCAACCGACAATGTTAGCTGCTGATATAGGATCAGGTCGGAAAAGATTCAGTGGTGGTCAAACCAAAACTTGGCATCACTGCATGAAATATTTGACAGTCAGTTTATGCCACGTAGGGAGGTCTAAGCTTTCTGGATGGGGTCCTCGGGATGGTAAAAACCAACAGTTGGAGGCAATCGGTGATATCGCTGAAAATCGTTCTCAAAGGTGCAGATGCATTCCCACCTTACGATCTGCCATGCCATTAAACTCTAATGTTTTTTCATGTCATTGTTTTCTTTCTCCTTCAGTTTTTTTGAATATTATAGCCCTTCTGAATTCCTTTTCTCTCTTTTTTCTACTTTTATGTGCTGCAAGGAGTGTGGCAACTTGATCTGCTGCACCCTTATGCAAAGTTGTATGTTGAAATTCAATCAGTCAGTCAATTCGTGACTGGTGTGTTAGTGGATGTCGTTCCTTAACACTGGAATGTAAATTGACAAGCGACTGTGAATGAGATTTCTTCGGGTAGTGAACCAATAGAAACAACTGAGAAACTTTTGCATTTGGGTAGTTACTAATGCTGTTGTAGGCACCAAGTGAGAAGGGTTTCATACAGCTGAAACCACATCCACCTGCTGACAAATGACACTTCTTGTCGATTCCGTGTGTGAAATGTCGGTGCAAGAGGCCCTATATTATTTCTATGATAATGAGCTAAATATGTCCATCTACTGTGTTCGATCAACACCGTTACTGTAGTATGGTTGCTGCAGGGTAATACAGAGGTACAATTTGGCATCTGAAAATGAAATATTTATACAGACATAAATTACATCATGAAATCACTATACGTAACTTAAGTAGGCTCTTACACAAACTTCAAAACTTATAAGATGAGAACTGACAGTATACACTAAAACAATATAAAAAGAAGACAGCAATAAGCTGAATTTACCGTTAACCATGATAGACAGACAGACAGACAGACCTAATGACAGTCTACCGACCAATATGACTTCACTTCGTCTCTCGTCATTATCGTGTAACTACTGGTTACCCTAATATAAACTCTCACCACCTGAAGTTCACCTTGGATGAGTGTTGTATTTTACCTTCTTATTTGTAAGTAACTGGAAGATATGCAAGCGAAAAGCAACAAGCTGGCGGTAGAAGAAGTATCAAAGATAAGACTTCAAGTGAACATAGATAAAACAGAGGTGATGAAGATCCCTGGTCAACACCAACAGTAACAACAACAACAGACAACAGTCAGCATAAATGGGAGGAACCTGAAAGAAACAACCTCCTTCACCTACCCAACTGGGAAGCATCGTTTCAACTACAGGCCAGCGGAACTGACGAGGATATCAAAGCCAGAATCAGAAAAGCAAGACAAGCTTTCATTACCCTTAAGTCTGTGTGGAGGTCAACATCACTCAGAATCAAAAATAACATCCGGATTTTCAAATCCAGCAACAGGGATCTCTGGCAATGAGCAAACCAACCCAACAGGAACAACCGATTGTGAAACAAATAGGCAGGAAGAAATGGAGATGGATTGGATTGGCCATACACTGAGGAAACCATCAAGTGACATCACTAGACAAGCCATTGCTCGAGTGGAACCCGAAAGGGAAGCGGCGAGTTGGTCGTCAGTGCAAGGGTGACTTGAAGAAGGTCATGTGAGGAGGAGATGAAAGCATGTGGGCAGACTTGGAGTGGAGTGAAAAAGTTGGAAGAAAACAGAAGGCGATGGAGACGCGCAGCTGAAGCCTTATGTCCCTCTAGGAATTAAAGGATATAATAATAATTTGTAAGTAAATGTAGTTCACTAACTACTTTGTTCCGCATATCAATACTGTTTGGCATGTTTCTGTCCTTTCTTGAAGGACAGTTACCTTTGTCTTGTTACCTTTGTGTAATTGCATTATTTCTTTTATACTTTAGAAACATACAAAGTTTACGTTAAGTCACCTGAGTTTTAACTATAGTAAGGCCTAGACTCTGTAGCGTCAGTACTGACAGTGAAGACCAGAAATCTGTAGGCAAATTTCGTCTTACATTAACAACACGCTAGAATAAGACATATTTATACCGCTTACACACTTATTCGTGTATAACGACTCCCATGTTTTGTGAGGTGTAGTTTTCCACAACGATTTTCTTGTTTTTATATACAACACTTAAAAATTGTTCATATAATAATACAAAAGTTATCAGTCTGTTTACGTGGATTTAGACCACCCATCATATGTGAAATCTACAGCGCATTGTTGGCATTAAGTTTATCAGTAGAAATCAGTTAGCCATAACAAAAATCTAATGTACAAAACTATGTTACACTTATTATGTTAGGCATGCTAATACCGGCCAGTTGTCCTGGCTGAAATAGGTGAGGCAGTATAGTACTTGAAACTATGCCACACTCACTGAAATTAAATTGCTAAAGTCAATGAGCTAAATCTCCACAACAACAATAATTTTAAAGTGTAAATACCATTTACCTTGTCGAAGAGACCAGTCCATACCCATTTCTAAAGCCTCTTCAAGCGCTTGAGCATCCATCGGTATAATGCCTTTTGAACCAACGCCGACAGGAATATGGTCGAATAACGTTTGAGTAAGTTTTTCTTTGACTGGAAGAACATCCTTTAAATTTAAATTTGTTCGTATAAGTCGGACTCCACAATTGATATCGAACCCGACGCCTCCAGGAGAGACTACTGACTTCGGATCAGATAAATCAAATGCAGCCATATTTCCTGTAAATAAGATAGAATGCGGTTTTGGTTCCGACAATTCACAGGAGGAAATGACTAGTCACAAAGTATTTTAAAATTTGTAGTAGGCAGGCATCACAAACCATCAAATAGTATGCCACTTTTCTCATTCGTATATTCTATGATTAGCAAATACATATTCAAGTGGTTACTACAGATTAGCAAGATAAAAGGGTTATACAAACTCAGGCATGTTATTTTGTTTAAAACTCAATCACAGCAATACTAATACCAAATCACGAACTTTATTTAATCTGGTGTTTGAAAACAATGATTATCCAAGTTAAATTAATCTTGTTAGTTTAGTAGGGCGTCTACAGTAAACGCTTGCTAACTCATAATTCATAAACGCTACAAAAGCTAATAAAATATCCTGACATGTGTAACTCTCGAAAAGTCCCCGACTTTTAGTAAATGAATTATAAGAATATATATTGAAATATATGAAATTATAAACGAGGATATGAATGAATAAAAGTATTCATACTCATGTACAGTCACGAAATCATACTTTTCTGATAGCACAACTGACTAAAATGTAGTAGGTAAAGTGTTTTTCATACAATCAAAGGTAAGAAATGAACTGCAGTACAACATACACACGTTGGGGATCATCTTTTCTCATTCCAAAATACCAAAGGGAAACACCTCTGTTTCAACGTAGAAATTTTCACAAAAGTGCAGCAATTCACCTTGATACACTTCCTAAGCATACAAATGTAGGAAATAACACATGGGATCCGCAATGAGCGGGAACCTATGGGGGAAAGAATAAGCATATGTAGAGTAGTGAATTTACTGGCTGTGGTAGTTCATAAACACACCTGCGCCTCTGGAACTGTTTTGATCCACATCGCCAACACCATTCAGTCATCGATCCTAAGTGTCTCGGGGAACCCAGGCAACTGATCCTCTCCACCGACAGCTTATCCCTACTTGATCTATGTGAGTCTGTCGTTCATTCAATGATGGAAGTCACCACGGTAGTTGATATCTCTTCTTATGTTTGAAGTTGGTGCTGACCACCAACAGATGATTATCTGAACAGAAATGTAAAGTAAAACTGCTGCTGTTGGTTTGTTGACATGTAACTTCATAGGTACCAACAATATACTTATCTGTTTGGCACAGCTTTTCTACCTGGGCATTGAAGTAATCTATTAAAATGACTATATCTAGGCATTTTGCTTTTAACAAGAAACCGGACAGCTTTCGATAGAACTCATTATTTACTTCATCCTAATTGCAATTGTTGGGGGGGTGGATTGTTACTTTCCGGCACATACTGTGCAAGAATAAACCTTCAGAGGGGATAAGTTGCGCAAAGTAATGATTTCTAATCGAATATGAGTAACATATGGAGCATAGCCATTGAAGAAAGGATAATACTAGCCAAACGAACCCTTCGTACGAGGGATAATAGAAAAAATTACCAGAGATGTCATACTGTACTCGAAAACATGATAATCTCGCCTACCTAGTGAGGCAGAATGAACAGTCCCTCATTCAGCGATTATAATGAAAACATCTCTTTACTTAAGGATTTACTGATCACAAGTAATAAGGTGCATAAGTAAGGTAATTTATTTAAAATTCGTTAAGTTTACAAAGATAAGGTTTCATTGTGAAATGAATTTAATCCAAATTAAATCTATCGGGAGTTTTTGTTTCCTCCAAGATAATAACATTCAAGTTTGTGAGACTAATGAAAGCTAACCTAAATCACCGAATTATAGTGACCATGTGATAAACCTCTTTTGACATATTATGAGTAACACGAACCAAAAATCCTAGGTGGAAAATTAAATAAAGGCATACAACTTTGTTTAACTGAAACAGCATATTTTCAAATAAATTTCCAATGCGGAATGAAGAAAATGTTTTTGGTAGATTAAAATGAAATTATTTTATTTCTTATTTACCTAAAACTAATATAATTAAAACAGACATCATTCTGTTGCGATTTTGTGAAATGGACGTTTTAACTTAGGAAGTACACTATTGTTACAAATGAAGGTAAACCTAGTTTAGAGAGAGAGCTAATGGTCAGATTGAAAAAATTCGGAGTTTTAATTTACAACAGTTGTGAACAGTTGAGGGTAGACAAGACCGAAAAAAGGAATGAACAACAGCATAAACATGATAAGACAAACGGTGAGGAAAAATGTGACAATTAATAATCTAGTTATAAATGTTGTGACACAAGCAGTGGTCACACAACTTGGGTCTCCTAGTTACCCTCTTTAATTACCTTATATTCAGAAACAGACTGAATGGAAAACTGACACGGCTTTCAAACCTTATTGAATATGAGGTTACAAGCAATATGGAATGGTATGAATCTTCATGGCCTATTGTCACAAGTATTTAAATCTGATAGCTCAGAACTATTCTTCAAATCGATTGACTTACTTCAGAGAAGTAGTAAGAGATGTGGTCCTATCTGACCGATTGAAACTACGCAGCTGATGATGATGTGAATTTTTAACAATTGACACAATGTAGAGCCGTATTATGTGTACCAAGTCACAGTATGAGGAAATGCCCCCAATTTGAAAAGGTTGGAAAATACTTGGGGATGTAGCAAAACCCATATAACTGCCCAGTGTTATTAGCTGTTTATCGCAAGGAATTATTTTAATTTAGAGTTCATTGGTAAACAAAAGTCTAGGCAGAGGCTTATTTCAACCTTATAACGTAATCACAGTTGATTATGTGGTTATAAGATAGGACCAAATGCATGATCGGAAGGCAGTCGTTAGGTGGTGCGTTACCTAATTCCATTACCACCATTTCTAAGTCTTCAATTATAGATTAAATATGAATGGAAATGATGTATCAATTTAGATTACTGACTGATGGAGAATTTCCCGCATCAAAATATATGACCCGTGGTTTGGTGTATGTAATGGTGTATTTATGACTGAGACAAACTGAAAGGAAAAAAATAAATGTAATTGTGAACATGCGGGTAGTCATGATTTATGTAGTGAGCAATAAGAACTATACGCAGGTAAGTTAGACAAGTTTCAAGCCGCTACGCAAACTAAGGAGTCATAGCGTCACAATTATCAATGCACATCTCCAAAATGGCCAAAGAGAGGAGAGGTTTAAAAAGCACTTTGAAAATAAGCATTAAGAAGATTAAATACACAAGTTTATCACAATTATGACAAATGTATATACTAAATTCCCAAATAAACGCAATACATCTAATCGTTTGAAGCACCAGCTATGCAGTCATCATACATAGAAAGCCGTAATTAAAGCTTAAATACATTTACCTAGTAAATAAAAGTGGTTGAAGTATGTTACTTACCGATAGCGAAACCATATCCAGAATGAACATCAGGCAAGCCAACTGAACGCTATAGAAAAATAAGCACACAAATACGATTCACAAGACGAATTTTAATTAAAGAAACAATCTAATTGTTTTCAACCAAAATAAATAATACCGACGAATGATAAATCACTACTGAACTGGTGTGACCAAAGTTGGACGATTCAAATTGGTTCACAGTCGTCTGTCCGTAATATTTTAAGGATTTTCACTAGAACAGATATTTCTACATTTGGTTCAGCTTAGCCTTTAGATTTTGTATACACTGGGGCTATTTGTGGATTTGGCCATTTTATTCCTTTGTTAAGAAACCCCAACCTAAATTTTAACTCTTCGGTTTAACAGATATGTATGAGGAAATGCAAATGACAGTAGGACAAACACAATAAGTTAATAAATTATAAATGCAATGGAAAGTCCAGGAATAATTTTTATTTATTTATTTAAACGCAGAAAAAATTTGGTACAATATGACACTAAGAAAGATGCGCCACAATAATAAAACGACATAGATCAAAAGTAAAAAAAATATAAGAAGAGAACGGATAAAGAACTTCATCTGGAAGGAAAACAGTCATGCTTAACAGGTTCAAACAGTATTCGTTAACTATCAACCGGAAGGGAAGAAAGAAGGAAATTGCAACACGCTCTCCATTGATTACGATTCTTGGCCATATCCGATAACGTTTCGAGCCATCGATTCCAGCTATCTCGCGGACCCCAACCAGGGAGTCGTGACGCACCAACCAGTGCTAAGCTAGCACAAAAATCCTTCATCCCACGATGACACGTCATGGACTGACCACCCTTCTGCCTTTCCCATCCCCTCACAGGGCTAGCGAATAGAGACCTGTACGGAAGCCTCTGGGATGACATTTGCAGCACATATCCAAGCCACCGGAGCCAGTGTTTCCAGATGACGACACTCAATGAATGGTGATCTCCACTATGTTCAAACACACGTCACTGAACCTCAGAATTACTCACGCGATGATGCCATCGAACGCAAGCAATCCTGCGGAGAAAGCGATGATCGAACACGCAGAGTCACCGCACATCCTCAGCTCGGAGAGGCCAGGTTTCACAGGCGTAGAGCAGGGCAGCCCGCACTGAGGCACTGTATACCCGACCTTTGACAGCCAGGCTAACGTCGCGACGGCGCCATAGGTGGCTCGAGTTGATGTATGCCACCCTAGCCTTCATTATACGGTTAGAAATCTCATCCGTCACCCCACCGCCAGCACTCACACAACTACCCAGGTACACAAACTTATCAACAACTCCAAGCGGTTCACCCGCAAGAGTGAGTGCAGATACAGGCTCCTGCCAATCTTGTAACAGTACTTTGCACTTAGACGGCGCAAAGCACATACCATACTTTCAGACACTGATCGCCAACTGATTAAGTGCGATTTGGGCAGCCTGCCTGCTATCGCACAGTAAGACGATATCGTCTGCATACTCGAGGTCGAAAATTCTATCTCCGGGAAGCAGATCTACATCACTTTTACGCACATCCTTCAAAGCTGACTGCAGAATGTCATCGATTGCAAAGTCAGAGAGAAATGGAGAGATTGCGCAACTCTGTCTAACCCCAATGTTGGTTGTATGCCCTCACTCTACCTGAGACGTTTCTGTAAAGGGCTTTCAAGATAATAACAAATTTCTCAGGTACACCTCTAACAGACAGTTCCAGAGCAAAGTTCTATCCAATGAATCGAAGGCAGCCCTAATATCAAGAAACAAAAAGATCGTTTGCCTGCAATGTCTGTCTGTCTGTTTTCGACAGAACTTTGCACATATGTGCGGCAGTTCAAGTCGCCACACTCCCTCCTTGTAGCACACAAAGCAAGAGAAGAAAGTACAAGAAAAGCATAATAGAAACAGTGAGCAGATGTGTGAGACAAAAGGAACAGTAATAACGAAGAACAATATAGTTTCATTGGAAATCATATGTCACAGGAAGTGGATGCATCTGCGCTAGCCATTGAGAACGATTTTGAGCCATGTCACCAATTGTTTCCAACCATAGATTTTTACCGTCCCGAGGACCCCAGCCTGGAAGTCTACACCTTCCTACGTGGCTGGCTTAGACCAACTGTTGTGGATTTCGTTGACTGGTGCCAAGTTTTCGTTTGACCGCCGCTAGCTTTTTTCCAGCCTGACCCTATATCCGCTAACACTGCTCGTCGAGGAAGGCGATGACTTGGCATACGCAACACATGTCCTAACCATCTCAGTCTTTGTAGCTTCACGACTTCGTAGATTGATTTCCCCTGTTTACCTAGCACTCTACGCCTAACTTCAATGTTGCTCACCTTATTATGCCACTTTACACGGGAAATAGAGCGCAGGCACCTATGATCGAAGACAGCTAGTCTTTTCATGTCTTCCACTCTCAGTGGCCAGATATCACAACCATAGAGGAGGACGGAGCGGACTGATGAGCAGTACATCCGCCCTTTGGTCGATAGTCGAACATCTCGTCTACGCCAGAGTCGGCGTAAACTGGCAAATGCGAAACGAGCCCCCTGTATCCGTACTCAGCTGAGATTTCGTCAGAGATCAGCCCGTTGGGGCTGATGGTACTTCCCAAATAAGTGAAGCGGTCAACGTGCTCTACCACTTCACTTCCTATTTTTAAACTAGGCGTCGATGTAGTCCAGTCCTGTACATCGACTGCAATACGTGTGGCGGTGTTCCAACAAGTGACGAAAGGTGAACACATGATTGATGCATCCAAGACCTGAACGAAACCCAGCCTGCTCTTAGCAAATCCAGGAATAAACTTATTTACTCTCTTAAAATATTTAAAAGCTTACTTACAGAGCGCATTCATATATAGACACATTAAGTAATAAGAATGATGGCTTGATAAGTATGTGGAAATGAATGACTTTAGTAAATACATAAATATACTACTAGCAGCTGGAACTTAATGTAAACGACTTCCCTGATACACAATGCATGACTTGACTACCTTTCTTAAATGTAAAAAACACTGAAAAATTGCACATCTGAATGACGGCACCAATTTTAACATAACATGCAGCAGTTATCAACAGAAAGTAGTATCAAATTCAATCAGAAGAATTAAGAGAAGGAGCACCTCTGTCTTACGTAGTTGAGACGGGTTGATACTACTCTCCTTCCCAGTCGGTTAATTTTTTTGGACCTGGAATATGTGGGTAAAAACGTGGGCAGTTTTCCACTCAAATTTGGGCAAAGTGGGAAAAGGTGGGCTATTTTTGAAAATTGTTCGCTGAAAAACTGGGTGAACAGGGAAAAAGTGGGTACATTTTGAATCGCTGCACATGGGATAAATGGGTGAAAACGTGGGTCAAGTGGGAAAACTGGGACAATTAAATTTTTCAGGACATGGGAAAACGGGGAAAATGTGGCCAATATGGGTGAAGTGGGCAAATAATGTAGCATTCATACCATCTTTTGCCCACCTATTCGCCAAACGCAATTACCCGATTAGCCCACATTACCCAGGTGCATTCTCTGACTGGGATTTATTTTAACGGAGTAGACAATAAAACAATCCCGTGATTTGGACTTAAGTCTTCCATACGAATTCGTATGTTCAGAGAGGCTTGTATCAAGTAGATGAAATGTAGCAAGGCTGCCTGATGCGGTTGATTTCGCAAACTGTGAAAATGTGGTGCAGAGACTTGTTTTTCAGAAAAGGAGTCCCAATTTTGAACCTCACTTAATCAACTTCAATTAGGACATGTGTCGCATTATTAGTTAGTGCAGCTCGTAGACAGCTAACTGGGTCATAACATAACATTCAGTGACTTAAGTCACCATTGAAGTAACAGAACCAGTGGCTTATATACCTGGCAAGCAAACACGTCAAATCAGGCTAATAAATCTACAGCTTTGTATTAATGAAATCAGAAATAATGAGTACCAGTTACTAAATTTCAGCGAACGTGTCACTATATTGAAAATGTATTTACTCTAACAAGTGACTAGTCCAAATCAGGGTCAAAACTCTACGGCAACGAGTGAAGATATAGAACTTACATTCTCAAATTTGCACCAAGGTAATTACAATAACTTACTAGTATAACTGTTGAGAGGCTCATCTCCCCAAAACCTCCAAGAAAAAACCATTCTGGGAACGCAAGGTAAAAATTTGGGAGAAGGCACTTAAATATCAATATCTCCCCCCCCCGTGCCCAAAAACAGTTAGAAATAACTCAATTACAACATTTTCATACTTACATAAACTATCCCCGGTAGTGCCGCAACGTTTCCTATTTGCTTCATACCTGGTAAAAAGCCACCATAATCTCCACTTCTAGTAAAATTCCGTAGTTCCTCAAACATGAGTTTCTCGAGGAAATCGTTCACGTAGAAAACACCCTCAACCTTTAAAGAAAGCATATTCACAGTCTTGAAAGACAACTAACATTCATATTTGGGACGAAACCTTTCTTTATCTTCCAACATGTCGGTGTTATTTTCTCCAGGAAAGCTAGTTCTTGTTCATAAGTTCTTGGCATGATGTAACGCAAATTTCTGATGTACGCTCTACTCGACAACCTTCAGATACCCACTTAACTACCAATATCCAATATTGTCTTCGAAAAACTGCAGGAATCGATTTGATTTCTATGTGCTCGCTTCCTGGTCATAAGGCAAGGGCTTACAGTCTTCGGTAAACCTCTGTGTACTTGGTCCTGTTACTAAACTGCTGTAGTTTTCCCTGACTCCAAAAGGAGTGGTGGTAGTATTGATTACATATAGTGTGTAGAATTCAGTGTTTTAAGACTGCTACTGTGAAAAGAGTTGATCCTTTCACCCGTTAGTCTTCCGGTGTGGTCGAATAGAGAGATAACAACATTAATTACAAATACACTTAATTTGGATTATGTAGACTTAAAAAAGAAAAATAGATATGAAAACAAGTAGCTAATGTAGTTGGAAATTAATACATATACATTTGTCAGTAATAATATAAGGGTATTAATTGATACAGTAGTCAGAAGAGTAAAATAAGGAAGAATAGGAAGTAGTACATAAACAGGTTTAGGTCTTAAGGAGATAGGCAGCTTGGACTAAATCCGGGAGCCACTGCACGATTGCCCAGCCTCCCATTACTGCTTTCAAAGGAGGGAAAAGTTGCCACATCTGCTGGCATAGTGTTTCAGGAGCCACAAACTTCAAGTGAAAATACAAGGGAATGCACTCAATTCTTCGTTCTAGTGGCTCTATTGCATATCCCCGCTAATTGTAGAGCTAATGTCTGTCGCTGCGCTGGTTTAGTAACAAGCTATGTTTTTATATGCCTTTTTAAACGAAATTTTGCATTGAAACCTTTTATAAAATACATAATATCGGCCGTGTAATGTACCTTAGCTGCGTTACATTTGCAGCGGTTATTTCAAATGTTGCCTGATACTGATATCTGCGTAGGATGATGGGTCAATTGAGGCGAGAAGTTCAAAATTTAAACCTAAATTTATGGATTTTCATGGAATTATACTGGTTTATTATTATGTCTATTTATTGAGACGCTATTGTCTAGGTTCGGTAGTCGATATTCAATTCAATTTCAGCATATATTTAAGTTTTCATCTACTCATACCAGTCTGTCTCACATTTTGAGACACAAAGCACTAGCACTATGGACACCATGTGTGGTATTGTTGAAAACTTGTTTTTCCAGTGACCTTTATTCTATGGAAAGATGTAATTGCTACAATATTCCGATTTATAAGCATAACTTAGGCTCATATATGAACGAAACGCATTGCCTTAGCTGGAATAAAGACAAGCTGTTCAGAACGTAAGGCAGACTTTATTTTTCAGTTTATTCGTGTAAATACTATTGCGCATCGAGTCGCATTGCAGTGCCACACAAAGCAAGAGATTATGAATGTATTGCCCTCTCTCCTACATAAGAAAGTTAATAACACAGGAATTACTTCATATTAAGTTCAGTAAGGAAAAATAGAAGTTTTTTCACTTCAGTGTTAGGAGTTAGTTTGTGAACCATGTGGGCTTTTGCAGTAATACGTTTGGTAAGGAGACTTCACGTTTAAATCAAAAGTGTACATGCTTCACTCGATTTTATGCACCTCCAGTGTAGATTTGATGTTGGTCAAGTGGTCATTTAACAATTGCTGAATGGTGTAACCAACTAAATTAATAACTCGTAATTCTAAGAATTGTTGCCGTTACCATTGGCAACACTTCTCAATTCATTGAATTTACACAACCATAATATCCATTTCTCACCTTACCAAGGAAACTTTAACTGGATTTTTTGAAAAAAGTAGTGAGTAATTTTGTGAATTTCATGCATTCTACAGGATGCGTTGCATTAATTTATTGCTGAAACTAAGCTATGAGAGGGCTGATAATTCCTAGAAGGATGTGATATAAGGCTCATTTTTACAACTGTCGTCCTTATTTTTGTTCGATCTTAGCGTACATGTAATAACAGACTTGTGTCAATCACGTCTCATAAACCGTTAATTCCCAGCTCTTGCTACGCTCGGGCCCACGCTGTTCCTTGAAGTTTTCAGAAACGCTTAGTTATAACGGACGAAAAAACCAAAACACCGATTGGCCGCTTGAGATTTCTTTATTGTTACACCAACATATAAAAATAATAACTGAACTAAGGTCTGTGAACAAATATTACAATAATAAATCATAATATTACTTCTGACGATGTTTTACTCTTCTTTCTGAACAGCGACCGATGAGACGATGACTGTCGTATTGATGCCTCCGCGAAAATTGGGAAAGTTGATTTTGAGCAAACAACCAAGAATTGATCGTTCAATCTTCAACTTTATTGACAACTTGTATGCCGCTGACTTAATGGACTTGCCAAGGAGCAGTCTCTTCTGCTTAGAGTATGGTGATTATATTGTCCACCTAGGTTGTGAGAAGTGACCACTCACTTTGGGAAATATGAAAATACTACTGGTGTCTGGCAGTAGGTATCTGTGTCGTATCCCCTGTGTGTGTGCGTCGGTGGCACGGTGGTTAGGACTCTCGCCGACCATGCATATGGTCCGAGGTTCGATCTCCTGACGACGCACACCCGATATCTATGGTCGGCCTGCAAATTTGGGCTACCGATATCCATGCTGAAAATTCCATACTTGTACCAGAAATACGGTGTGGATTCAGGCTGTAATCAAATAAAGTAAAATACGGTGAGTAATACTGAAGTTAAACGTATAGTGTTAGGTAGAGAGCTAAGGCTCCAAGCCACTGTCAATGACACAGATGCATTCACTTTGTGCAGTCTCAAGCAGCTAGTCAACCCTTAGGTTTATCCTCGTCACCATTCGTTCCCTTTACACTGATACTCATTAAAGTTCCATTTAATTTGCTTTTCCTCTACCTTTGTGTGCGACATGTAATGCGGTAACTTGGAGAGATATACATGTGTGCAAGCTTGTATGTTGAAAGTCAATCAGAATGACGTATACTGTGGATATAACGAAATGTTGAAAAGTGGATAATAATCATGGATAATCGTATTTTTTCATTTGGTTGTTGTCTACAGCTTAAATGCTACGTCGAAATACATCTGATGAAATAATTTCTGCCTATTACTATCTAAATATAATATTTTTCGAGTGTGGAATGTGATAACTCAAACTACTGCACTTTTGTGCTGAGTTCCATTTTAGAACTCAGTCAGTCAGCATTTATTGCTGCAGCTGCATGGCGTCACAACTCACTGCAGTATTAATTGGCTTCAACAATATTAATGCCGTTCCTAAGTACTGTATTCGTTTTCCCGGTTCCTTAAATCGTCGAGATAAAGTTCACCGAAGAACAATCCATGAACTAGAAGTCAGTAATACGGAGATAAATAGTAGTGTGAATATAAGTGAATAAGATGAGTGAATTTGTATCCCTGTAGTACGCGCAACTAAAACACTTATCTTATCAAATACATGGCTCATAATTGTTTCATATTTGTCTTTTCTCTTTGTAGGTTATCAGTCTTCGTAGATACATTCTACTAGATGTCGTCATATAAAGTGTATGCAAGCAGTCTTTCAATACCTCCATCTCCAACAAAGGTGTTGGTATGAAGCCTTGAGATTATTCACATTAGGCCGTAGTACAGTCAGCATGTTTATATTACTGGTGCACTGATATGCAAGACTTGTACATGCTACTGTGAAGTTTGCCGTAATAACATTCTCTACATAGTAAATGCAATGCTTGTAGTATCATTTTGTCATTATCTTTTCATTGCGATGATAGAAGCGTATATATTAGCATTAGTTCTCGCAAATACTTTCACCAAGTGCCCATACTTCTTCCTAGTACAAAAAGCTACTCGCGGTCAAGGAAATACTCTTTACAGCATTCGTAAATAACTATCGGACTATTTTACTTTATGGAGTAGTAAGACAGGAGGTGTATGAAATTTAGATGTTTATGTGTATTCGCGATTATTGACACGGGATATACACACATATTTCATATCTGAACAAGATAATTTTATAGATTAATGTAGGGCTGAGCGCAGTGAGTTAATGGTGTATTCGTTACTATATATATCTTGTGTAAGTGAAGTGCTTCTATTCAATTGTCTTCGAAGCTGCAGGGTTTCTTCACTGAACTTTCACAGGACACAATACCTGGTGTTCGCGGATTCTGCCGCAAAAATCTGTGCCACAGTCGAAATACTTTTTCGAATAAAAGCGGTAATACTGATATTATTAAATGTGATTTACCCGTAAACTGAAGTGGAACACAGCACCATATCTTTGCGATGTATGCCTTGTGTTGTAAAATTCTTGCAGGTAAAAGTAGAATTCGTGAACTGAGAACTAGTTAAATATGGAATTGTCCCAGTCAGCCAATTAGATGAAAGGCTGGTGAAATGCGATACCTTACACACGCACCTGCAGATGTGGGCATGTGTTACTTCATGTGAACTCTGGGCCGTATCGAGAAGGCATTCCTTTAAATCGACCCTTCATTTTAGGATCAATAACAGTTCGTATATTCTGTCAATGTCCAGGTCTTACTACACTGGACCTCACACTATTCCTGGAAGACTTTCAGGAACTATGTGTAACAACCAGCACGAGAAACCAGAACACGAATTGGTGACTGAAGAATCGTTTATTCTTGCACCAATACACAGCCAACCATTAGGTTATTGTACACAAAGTCTAGGAATAAATGTCATAACAATAAATCACGATAATAATTCTGATAGTTTTTCTCTTTCTTCCAACGAACAGAGAAGGATGAAACGATGACTCCCGTAGGAATATGGCGTTGGGTTTGAGCAAACAACCATGGATTGATCGTTCAGTCTTCAACTACTTTGACATATGCGTAATGACTGGTTGCGGTTCTAATCTAGCCTGTAGCTACAGAATGCACCTAACTTTAGGGAACACTTAAGATGGATTTTCGTAAAAACTGTGGTATTCATTCTGTAGTCTTAACTGTTGTCACGTTGATTGACACGAATAAAGGAATGGACTGTAATGTGGTGTGTCCTGTG